CTAAAGGAATTATAATAAGTTATAATATTATTAATTATAAAAAAAAATAGTAGAAACTAAGTATAAAAAAGATAAAAAAAGATAAAAAAGTTATTTTAAAATATTATAAAAGACCTAGCCTTTTTATCTAGGCTAGTAAAGTAAGGTTTATTAAAATATTTAATTCTAACTAATATATTACTATATATAAATACTAGTTAAAAAGTCTACTTTTTCTAATAACTATAACTTTATAGATATATAATAATAAATTCTAAAATAAATCTAGTATTTTAGAGTATACTTAAAAGTATAAGGTACTAGTTTATATTTATTTATTTATAGCTTATTTTAATAATAAACTAAGAAAAAGTTAATAAAGAAAAAAAAAGTTAAATTCTTTTATTTTTCTTTTATAATTATTTAATAAAATAGAAATTAGATAAAGGAAAAATATAGTATAATAGTATAAGATATAAGGTATAATATTAAGTTTCTTTTAGAATTTATAATTAAGTAGTTATAAAGTTATATTAAAAAGAAAAAATAACGTTTTTAGTAGTGTTTATATATGTGGTTACTTGGTGTGCTGGTTACGGCTATGTACAGTACCCCTTGGCAAAGTGGGTGCGGGCACATGTAATTAAAACATAACGATAACTCACTACCTAAGAAACAGACAACTGTGGTTATTGGCACATGACGAATGGAAATAGAAGGTTCTGAGGTCGAACTCTTCCGCAGCTTAGGTTCTTGCATTTTATCAGCTCTGGTACACGGGCTTGTGCGGATCGACGGATGAACCGTACGACCCAATCTTTGTGCGGGGCAACGTCGATGAGCCGAAGAGTAACTAAATATGGGATCCGATCCGAGGTCATGCACGCACCAATTTCCGTCCTTCATCCCTTCCATAATCAAACCACATAAAATTATACCCTGTCACCATTCACCATGGCTACTGCCAACGTTCTGTACCCGTCGGGACCCGCCTTTGACTTGGACTACTTCTTGAACAAGCACTTTGAGATTGTCGAGAAGTGAGCTTTCCCTTGACTAAATCACGCCACCCGCTTCCGTGAGCACGGCTAACAAAAGACGACCAGGCACTGGAAACCCCTCGGTCTTCAGAGCTGGGAGGTCGTTGTCTTGGAGCCCGGCCAGCAGTATCAGATTCAGGCAATTCTCAAATGGGACAGCCTGGAGTCTCTCGCCAAGGCAAAGCAGGGCGAGGCCGGTGCCAAGGTATTGGGCGACATTCCCAATTATACCACAGCCAAGCCGGATATTGTGGCCGGCAACAAAAGAGCTGGAAGGAGCATGCTGTGAGGGGATCAAGTCGAGTGCATACTGTGGATCAGCACTTTTGAGCTTTGGATTGAAACAGGGCCGAAGTAACAATCTATTTCTTGGCCGTGTTCTCCGCGCAGTTTTGACCAAGCATCTGTCTCGAGGCCGGACGCCACTGAGAAGCAGGCAGTCAAATATATCTACCCCTATTCTGCTATATTTTCATGGCGGTGACCTAATCTACTGTTTTCCTCGTGCATCTCCGTAAATAAATGTATAATATCTCGCATTTTAGATCTAGGGAGTGGAAAGTGGGCATCGAGCGTGCCGCTTACTGACTCGAGCGTGAACCCTTTTACAAGGGTCAAGGAAGATGGCATACCCGAAATAATCATACGACGACAGCTCAGTCTTGACTAAGACTTATCCGCCTCGCCACAGGACCTCGAAACAAGTAATTAATCATTTACCAGTACATCAAGCTAATGTAAACGTGCCAGCCACCAAGCAGATAGTGCCGATCAACATGAGATCTCGCGGCCCTGTTACCTCGAAAAAAATGTGGCCTATTTGCACCCTGAAATAAGTCAGCAACGAGTACATGTCGCCGCGCCGTCCAGCGCCAGACGCCGACGCAGCAGATAGCGTTGCTGCCGCCTATGGCCAACGATAGCAATATTTGCTGTTCTGCGAGCGCAGAACCCAATAGTGCCTGAACCATATCTGAGCGTAATAAGTACTCTCAATCGGAGAAATTGCAATTTGCATTTCAATTGGCTCGCGTAAACAAGTATGCGCTCGTGTCTATATCCGTATCGAGTACCCAAAGCTTACAGTTGCAAATGGTGGGGCATCGCTCGCCAGTTCACTTCTGCAACCCAAAGCAATTCGTCCCCTTGCATTTCAACGCCGCCGCCTCACCGACTGAACAGTCCCCCGGCCACAAAGCGAACCATGGCGAGCACGCAAACAGGTGCGCAGGCAGTCACCTCGGAATCCGGTCTGCGGCTGCCCAGCAATGGCAAGACCATCTACCACCGTCCGCTGAACCGCTCCAAGGGCGGCGAGATGAGCCAGGCGAGCTTTGCGTACTTGTTTGGCGAGATGGTGACGTATGCCCAGCGGCGCGTCAAGGGCATTCAAGAGCTCGAGCAGAGGTAAGAATCCCCCTCCCTTCCTTCTCTTCGCGCACTGTTCCGCCCGCCTGCATCTAACCACCGAGCCCTTTCATTCTCCAGGCTGAACCTCCAGGGCCACTCCATCGGCCTGAAGCTCCTCGACCTCCTCCTCTACCGCGAGCCCGCGCGCACGCAGCTGCGGCCGCTCAACATCATCGCCCTGCTGCACTTTATCAAGCAGAATGCCTGGACGCACCTGTTTGGGCGGCAGGCCGACCGCCTCGAAAAGAGCAACAACCCGGACACGCCCGAGGAGTACATGATTATCGACAACGAGCCGCTCGTGAACCAGTACATTTCGGTGCCCCGCGAGATGAGCCAGCTCAACTGCGCGGCGTTTGCGGCGGGCGTCATCGAGGGCGTGTGCGACGGCGCCGACATTCCGGCAAAGGTGACGGCGCATACCGTGGCCGAGGGCGACATGTGGCCGGGCAAGACGGTGTTTTTGGTAAAGTTTGCGCCAGAGGTTGTCGAGCGAGAGGCATTTTTGGGCAAGACTTGAGAGGTTTCCAGGATTCTCCTGGAAGAGGGGGAACTAGGATCTGGGAATGCGAGATGAACAAGCACGATTTTGATTTGAGGTGCACATGGAGTTGGGGAGTCTGGACCATCTTTGGGGACATTCAAAGGTCATCGGGTATTCATTAGGTCATGAATCATATTATATACATTTGTGCATTCAAAAACACCATTGCCGCAAAGCGTAATAATGCCATCCCCCCCAAGATTTCTGGACACACCCGCCGCAGTAAAGTATCATCGCGTACGCGCCCAACTTTTCTAGCGCGGAAGGTTCCTAACTCCCATGGCACCTTTGCCGCTATTCCTCTTCCCGCTCGCATCCGGACCTTTATCCATCAGCGACGCCAAGCCCAGGTCCTTCCACGCCGGCTCGTTGACGCGCTGTGTCGCGCGCTGGATGCCAAACGCGGCGTGCTGGTCCGGCACCACGTCGTCCTCGTCCTCCGGGTTGATGGGCTGGTGCTGCGGCGGCACGTAAATCTCGTCGGCGGGCAGCCTGTCGCGGCAAAAGTCTTCAAAAAGCTCGGCGTCGCTGGCGCGGTGCATGTGCACGTACGTGAAGCTCGAGTCTTTGTTCTGCAACGACATATTGGATTAGCCAACATGATCATTCACGAGGGCAGTGCTGAAAGCAAAGTGTTGTAAGATTCGGGCGCAGAAGAGGGCCGCAACGCACCATGGTGGTGATGCAGAGCTCGTGCAAAGGCTCTGGTTTTGATGTTTCTTTGTTGTTGTCCTGGCAAGTGGCCATGCCTTGTTGATGCGGTGGAGATGTGGAGGGCGGGGCGTCACTGTCGATTCAGTAACACCAATTGCACGTATCACAATAAGTACAACAAGTAATGCAGTAATGCAATAATGGTATCCTAAATGTCAATAGATTTCCGTGTGCATAAATTGATACGATGTATTACATTTTCTTGTTCTTATATGCAAGGGGTCGGGCACTTTAACATGTGTAGCACATCCATTACTTGAATGCAATTACAACGCAGCACCTTTAGCACTATGGAGTAATAAACACCACGCCTACCTAAGTACCTAGGCATTAGGCTTGAGATGTCCTTGAACTGGTCGCACTTCATTCCGCACAAGTGGCAAGTGGACAGTGCCTGATCGAGGATGCAGACAAATTTTGCTGAGGGGTGCAAAGATTTTCGAGGCTGGATGCAATGCAACCCAGCACCCTCTACTTTTGGCAACAACTTTCAGAAAAAGATCACACAGGTGGGTGGGTGGTGGGTGGGCGTTTGCAAGTGCGCCATGCAAGATATCTTGGCCGTGCATGAGGCTTCCACGCTGCGTGAGAACTTGGCAAACGTCGCAGCCCTATGCAGCAAAAGACCTTTGGAACATAGTATCAAGTCTTTTGAGTTTACGAGGTGTACCCAGCTGCCAATGACCATGAGCAGCTCTGCTGAAAGCGGCACATAAGTACCGTGTCCGTGTCCGTCAAATCGGCTGCCTACAGTTTCACAGTCATTGCGATTGAACAAAAATAGTGTATAGCCTCGTATTTTCCATGGCATGTCTTTGTCTTTTTGGTGTTGCAACTACCTCAATCGTGTTTCATAGCCCGTATCTGCAGCATAACCAAACTGTTCTAATTGCCACGGAACCTGCCTGGTCGAGGATCAAGCAGCGCTCTCATGATAAATCATTATCAAAACATCTATCGAGCCGTGTAACCGCCGTCAATGACTAGGTCTGATCCGGTAGTGTAGGAGCTAGCGTCTGAAATGAAGTAGACGTAGGCCGCCTTGAGCTCGGGGGACTCGGCGGGACGGCCGATGGGGATCATGCTGTTCCACAGATCCTGCGTCTTCTGGTCGATAAAGTCAGAGAGACCGGTGTTGATGTAGCCGGGGCTGATGGAGTTGACACGGGCAAAGTCACGCCACTCGTTGGCGAGGGAGCGCGCCATGTGGATGCAACCAGCCTTGGCCACGTTGTACGAGGTCTGCTCCTGGGGGAAGTTGGCGATGTGGCCGGACATGGAGGCTGTGAGGACGAGCGAGCCGTGGCCTTGCTTCTTGAAGACGGCGCCGACCGCCTTGGCGCAATAGGCCGTTCCGTTGAGATCGACCTGGATAACCTTGTCCCAGGCTTCCGCAGTCGAGTCGATGATGCCGTTGTCGGCAGTCATGCCAGAGCTGGAAGAAACGCAAACGTTAGCCATCAAGTATTGGGATGGGAAGCGGCGCAGAAGAGCTTACTTGGCAATGAAACCGTCAATCTTGCCAAAGTCGGAGACAACCTGGTTGACAAATGCCTCTACATCGGCGTACTTGACAACATTGAGCTTGTACGCCTTGACCTTGACACCGTACGTCTTGGAGAGCTCCTCGGCGTTTTTGTTGGCACCATCCGGACGCGACGAGTAGGTAATGGCGAGGTCAGCGCCCATCTCGGCGCACCCGCGGGCCGCCTCGATACCAATGCCCTTGGGGCCGGAAGCTCCAGTGACAATGACCGTCTTGCCCTTGAGGCTGAGGAGGTCAAGGACCTTGGTGGATTTGGGGGCTGGCTGAGGCATGGTGGAAGTGGTATGTGGTTAATAACAAAGGTACGAGGTTCGATACGCAAAATCTCGAATGGAAGAGTATCGGAGCAGTTGTGCTGGTAAAAGGACGCGAGAGTTCTGTCGACAAGGCAGGCAGGAAGAGGGGCAGTGAGGGGAACGACAGATTCTTATAAACAGCAGCCGGACAGCTCGGGGTTGGGAGCTCGGGGCGGGGGTGACTGGGACTGGACTGGGACTTGGATTGGCGCTTTACACGGAAAGTGCTTATCCCCCCATTCCGGAAAAGCCTCGTTTTTTTTTTTCAGCCAACCGGTATACTCGAACCTTCAATACTAGAGCGAAAGTCAATGTATCATGGGAGCTGCCGGATGCTCAAGGTTGTCTCTGCCCCACCAATGGCGTCACAGCTACGCCAGGAAAGCTGGTTAGAGGGGTTGGTTGAGGGGGGCTTCGACGGCGGGGTCTATCGTGATAATTCTACCCAGTAGTCAGTTCAGGATGCGAGGCTAACCAGTAGACCGTTCTCGCCGATTGGTTGCGGGGTCTATTTGAAACATGGAAACATGTCCGCTCTGCCGGTTTACAGCCAGCTTGCTCAAATCGTGTCCGACAACCCCAGCCCAGCCCTCTCTTCTGAGCGGTTTTCTTCGACGCTGTCCTCAACGCTGTCCTCGACGTTGGTGTCTCTGAAGCTAAATAGATTGCCTACCTAGCCAACTAGTGACGGTAGGTGTGGCAAGATGCATGCGGCTGCATCTCGTTGGGCGCGCCACCAGTGTGGGTGTGACTGTGCAACCACAAGGCTGGCTGCATCATGTATGTACCTAGCTTTGTAAGTATCACAAATGGCCCTGCCCCACGCATTTCTTGCTAATAGCTGACAATCCGCGGCTAAAATTTTCGATCAACTTACAAATGGTATGCGCTAGCAAACTAGTAATCAGTAAGAGCAGTTTCAGATGAAGATCATATTTTCTCTGATAGATAGAGTTCTGCGCCACGCGCAAGGCTAACAACTATTAGGTAATAACAGCTTAAAGGGGAATCATTCTACATATTTGCGCAACATGAAATTGCACACCATCATATCATACTCTTTTTCAAATACGAGGTTCCATGCCAGACCATTTGCAATCACCATTTTGCTCCGGGAAGAGCAATAGACGTGCCTTTAGTTCCACCATCAGCACCACCAAGAGTCAGTGCGGCGTTGATAACACCAGCAAGACCTTCACCAGCGATAAGACCGGCAGCAATGGCAAAGCCGTAGGCCTCGAAGTTGTTGCGGAAGAATTTTCTCCACCACCAAGCGGTGATGGAACCAAACAGCACAGCGTTGGCATAACCGGAATCGGGGCCTAGAACCCAAGCAACACCGATGGCCATCCAGTTGGGCAGGTAGGAACGATACTTGGCGCGGGAGCCAACCAGGTAAAAGTTCTTGAATAGAGCCTGGCATGCCGCAAACACACCGAGGACAATGGCGAAAATGCCCGACTTGAGAGGAATCGGCACGTGCGGTTCCGTGACGGCCTGGGCGACAGCCACCCAGGCAGCAACCGAGGGGGCGGCAAAAGGGCACTCGCCGTCCTGGAGCTCGGGTTTCCAGACACAGGGGTAAGCAGCCATGAAGAGAACAAAGATGCCCGGTGCCAGGAAGATGGAGACAAAGGCGCCGATGCCCTGCGCGTAGAACTGGAGATGGGGTGGGGTCTGCAGGAGGAAACCGACGCGAAAATCGCTGACGAGAGCCGTGGAGACATCAGCCGTTCCAGTGGCAATGTTTCCAGCAATCAAGTTGATGCGCTGGGCATGGGCCTGCTCGGTACCCTTTGTGATACCACCAAAAACGAGCTGTGAGGCTTTGGAAGACGCGGTCAAAGGCGCAACATCGGTGACGGCGCCTCCGTAGATACTCATAAAGGCAAAAATGATGCCGAGAAGACAGGCTACAATGGCATAGCCTGCATTCATTCCGAACTGGAAGTGACAGACTAGACAAGCAACAGCCATCATGACAATAGTTCCGCTAAGCCAAACGTACACGGGGACCTGTTGCTCAGGCGTGGCAAAGTCCTTGGTCAGACAATTGTCATCGTTGACCTTGGCGGCTTGCTTCTCGAAAAAGGGGCTGGACTTGCCGCGCTTCTTGAGGGCAGCGTCAATGCTAACCGACATTTCTCGGAAAGCAAATAAGAGACCATCCCAGAGGACGCGAATGTGGATGAAGAACTCAATCAGCGAGTAAACCAGGAGCACCATCACACCAGGCCACAGCATCCAGTAGCGAGGGGATGCCTTCCAGCCAGGCTGGCCAATGCCAGTCATCTTGCCAAAGCCAGCAACAACACCCCATCGTTCGGCAATGACAGGATCTTCAGCTTCGAGGTAAGGACGGGTGCCTACACACTCGCCATAGTGAACTAAAAGGGGTCCAATCAAGCCCCAGGCAACGACAGTGCCTCCCCACCAGGAAAATGCTGTGTTAAGACCAACAAGAATACCAGATCCAAAAAAGGCAGGAGTCAATTGGATATACCAGCCCCAGTTGTCAATGTTCTGCGCCCAATTGCTGTATCCGCTCCAGATGTAAAACCATGAAAAGATGTGCCAGTTGTGCAAAATACCGTCAGCGTATTGGGAGACGATAATGTGAATGAAAGCACCAGCGAAAGCGTAAAATAGAGCCTTGACCTTGTTCATGGCATCGACAGCGCCAGACGAGACGGAATGCATCGATCGAATGGCGACGGCGGTAGCAGTCGGCGAGGGAAAAACGAGGTTCAGCTCACGCGAGACATTGATAATGAAGAACTTGCGCAGAGGTACAGCAGCAAAGAGACCGAATAGGGCGCAAACAATCGTTAGAGTCAAGATGCGACCAAAGTCGGCCTTGGGGTTGTCGGAGAGTAGGCTGAGGCGGTACATGGCAGGCAAGCCGGCAACAAACAGTCCACTCATACCACCAGCGCCGGTGGCGGCAGCCTGGACGATGGAGTTCTCCTGTGGACCAAAGCGCCCACCGAGGAAGGAAATATGAGGAAAAGCCTTTGTGAGAATTGTAATAATTCCATATCCGAAAATGGCACCAAACATGGTGGCAGGAAAGGTGAAGCCGGTCTTGAGACCTGTTTGAGATGTCTTGTTAGTCATATCGGCTTGTGCCACTAAGATGACTCGTACGGAACGTACCTAGATAAACGTTGGAAGCATTGCAAAGCGATCCGAGAATGATGCCAATCAGCACAGCTCGGACTGTAAGCGGGCTTGCCTCGGGAGGGACGCCCTTCAAGGGGGGAAATGACACGAAGAGGTCGTCAGGCAGGGCCTCGTCGTCCGAGGTGTCATCATGGTCGTCCAGTCCAAGTTGAACATGGTCCGCTCCCTCGCGTTTCTCGTCGGCATAGGTTTCGGACAAGATCTTGGCATCGCCTGTAGTGTCGATAGCCGGCTGAGCACCTAAAACGTGTCGTTCCTGGGCGTCGTGCACAAGCTCGGGCGCGTGGTGCGTGTCGGCGACGACAGGCTTTTGACCCGTGATTGCGGCGTCGTGGTCCATGCTGCGCGGGCCTGGGGCTAGGAATGCGCTGGGGAAATCTACGGCGACCCGAACAAGACACGCTGTAGTTGTCAAAGCGTGCACGGCAGACAAGAGAAAAGGCTGAGAGGCAGAAGCAGAATGGAGAGTGGGCGCGAGCACAGTATTTATCTCAAAACGGCAGGCGGATAGCTACAGTACATCAAAGGATTCGCCGTAGGAACTTATGGAAAGTTCCCCATAAGCTAACTTACTGAGAAGGTGGTGTTATCACTATCACTATCAGTTAGTTAGTTCCTTGCTCTCTGGAGCCCCCATGGTCCCTGAGCCTGGTTTGGCCCCTCCAGACCCTCCTCGCCTCCATCTCGTTCACTGGTCGGCACCTTGCGACGACCTCTGAAGAAATGCCCGCTAGGCTCATTTGCTCGTGCAATGTCACCACCGCCCCCAACACAGGAACTTTTTTAATGTTCCCGCGGTGGCTGATCGCTGGCCTGTTTTATAGTGTGAACGCCACCGGCTGGCGTTGTGACAGCGGGTGGAGCTGCGGCTGCGAAGCCCGGCCGAAAACTAGTTTTAGGGGGGGCGCACGGGGGTTGGCTTTGGGGGCGGCGTTTCTCATCAATATTCATCCTAGGGGGTTGGCTTTGGGGGCGGCGTTTCTTATCAATATTCATCCTATGGCTGCTATCCTTGTCATCGAATAACAGGCACTATTCGGCATGTGTTGGAGAATGGGCATGCCGACGCGGTGAAGATGCTGATATTTATATCCGTATTTCAGCGCCAGTGGTGACAGGGTCCCAGCGAAAGAGCTTAGCGGGCATTTCTTCAGAGGTCATCGCAAGGTGCTGGCCAGTGAACGAGATGGTCGGCGACATGACTCCCTCGACTGCTGAAAGGTCGATTATTACGACGCACCCGAGTTGATCTTTCGACGGCTAGCAGCGCCTCAACTTGATGGCAACGGGCGTCCTGTACGTCCAGCTCGTGACTGTATTCCTTTGCGCCGTTACCAGTACAAGGGCGGCTGGCTGGTCGGCCTCTAATTCCGCAGTGGCTTGCTGGCCCTAGGGCGCTACGGCTACGGATGGAGGGCCAGTAAACGGGAACTATGACTACCTACCTAGGTAGGTAACCACAGGTAGTTATTGGTTAGCGTTGACAACTGCCAGTGTCGGTGCTCCAACGGCATAAAAGGCGTCGATGAGATACACGCCCAAACATCGAGTAACCAATATTCTGATTATTGAACATTTCTCTGGGGTCCTGGCCGCGGATCAAGTGACCAAGCAACGAAGAAGCGGTTCAGTGCCGAAAAAGCAATACCTACCTAATTATAGCCAGGGAAGCGGCGACAGCTGAGAGCCCTGTAAATAGCGTGTTGTTCCCCATTCCGCGAATAAGCTTGAAGGGCGCTGTGTGGGCCGCCTAGCGGTACTTTTGCAACTGGTCCGGCGAGCGGTCGGCCAAGTGGCATGCCACCAAGTGCCAGAATGATAAATGATAGCATACAGTGAAGTCAAAGGTCGAGGATTATATACTTGCTTCACGCCAAAGGCCAGTCATCCGTCATGTTGATTGATAGTTTTATGAAGTTGGTAATAATACTTTAGAGCCTGGTCTGATGCCCTTCTGTCGGCCAAGCAACCACCAACATCACGACAGCGGGCAGCGCCGCGAACTGTCGCTGGTCACGGTCTTATGTCCTCTTTGGGCAAAGATTTTTGCCTTGAAGGAACCTTTGTATCTCTTGGCACGGCATTTGCACTGCTATGCCTAGGTCGACACGTGCAGGAGATTATCACCCTTCGCTAGCCAGAACCGCATAATTACCCCAGACTCCAGGGAGAACTGTGTTTGAATGCAGATTTTCAGGCTAGTTACGGTCAAAGCTTCGCTAATAAACGAACAATGAGTTGTCCCCTTTTTTTTTAAGGGGCCGAGGCACGCACCCAAACACCCAAGCGCTGAGCCTGAAAAGGGTTTATACGGGACTAACCCAGCGGGTGCCCATCAACCACGGGGCTATCCCCAAATCGCCAATTTACCGTGAGTTCACTGGAAACTAGTTATCAGTATGACAAAATCCGTATTGGACTATTGGTTAGTCTCGGCTTTCCACATTCGCCACATGCTACTTTCTCCATCCTCGCTAGGCAAACGTTCAAAAGTTCCTGGGGCGAATGGGTCACCACGGGGCTACATTGTCCAGCATTCCCTGCAACCCACCCCGAGAACATGGCCTCCTCATATGAGCTTCAAGTGGCTTTCCTACCATATTGAATTACAAACTATATGTCGTACTGGTATTCGTAGGGCGAACTCAGCTGATGTTGCGTCAGGAAACAGCCCCAGCTGTGGCAGACGCCATTTGTTGTTGATGCCGCCTCCGCCACCCCAGACTATTGGCACGAGGATAGATACCGGTAATAGGTCTCAAGTACCGGGCCGAGCCCTTTAATTCTACTGCGCAGCACATTTTGCCAGCCACGTCCTATTCCCCATATATATGTGCCCGACTGTGCTGACCGGCAGGCTAAATAAACTTCCGAGTCGTTTTCCGTCGGCAAGAGGGACGGCGGCGTGGGGGGGCTGTATGCACACATCGTGGTGAACCTACTGTATTCCAGCATTTGTCTAAGACAAATCATTTATTCGACGAATGAGATGATTTGCGGAAACAGGTTTCAACATCCGCGGACGATTTGTTGTCAGTGAGGCAGTACATCATTCATATCGGCTTATACGTGCGTGGTGATAAGCTTCGCCATCGGGGAATATTAGGTATATTCTCCTGCCGTCGCTTGTTATTGTTCGTCTTTAGTCGGGCAGTGTGAGTTTCGTACTTTGACCACATAGTTCTATTTGGACATTGGTGAGTGCTTTCTCAGTTTAAGCGAGGTACTGGCCAAGTAGCTCTGGACGACGAATCCTACGAATCATGTTCGTGAGTCATCGGTTTGTACCACGTGGTTCAATCTATAGCGGCTAACTCTGTCGGACAAATTCATATGATGTTTGCAGAGATGATGCGAACATTGCCCCTTTCAGGATTATGTTGGCTTCAGTTTTATATTTGCCTAAATTCACACTTTCCATCAATCGCTCAAGCTACAGGTGCCGGGTAGGTATGCCTACGCAACAGAGTCGAAGGGGCAAGACCAAGTCTAAAGAGCTCCTGAAAGACCAAGTCAAGACTAAATCCCTGTACACATCAATTCATGTGCGCATCATGCAGCACTGTGCTCGCCTTAGGCACCCGCGTCGTCTCCGTCATCGGTGGCCGGATGACTGTCGGAAAGGCTCTCCGGGGGCCGTCGTCCCGCGATGACGGCCCCGCCACCCCATGCGACGTGAATGGCTGCTTCTGGTATTTTGGAATGTCAGAGATGATCTGATCGCGGGGCAGTCGAACAATGGCGATTTCAACTGACCTTTTCCGCCCAAGTATAAGGCAGGCGTTCGCCCTCACTTGGCGAGTCTGTTTGAGAATCCAGAACACACGTCATATTCAGTTGCACCATGGCCCCTCACTACCCGCCTCGCGGCATCTACGTGCCCTGCGTCGTATTCTTCCACGAGGATGAGACATTGGACTTTGAAGCCATCCGCGCGCATTTCACCCGAGTCGCCAAGGCTGGCGTCGACGGCCTGGTAATACAGGGATCCAATGGCGAGGCCATGCACATGTCGCACGAGGAGCGTATCGAGGTTCTGAAGCTTGCGCGCTCCGTCCTCGACGCTCATGGCAAGCCTGGCGCGACCATCATCGCGGGAGGTGGTGCGCAGTCGACGCGCGAATCTATCCAGCTGTGCAAGGAAGCCCATGAGGCAGGTGCTGATTATGCGCTCGTTCTCAGCCCCAGCTACTGGCGTACGTGGGCGTGCGGTCTAGACGGGTGAAACCAACTAACAGTGAGATGTTGCAGTTCCTGCCATGCAAAAGCCCGTCATCCACAAGTACTTTCACGACGTGGCCGAGGCATCTCCCATCCCGATCCTTCTCTACAATTTTCCCGGCGTCACCAGTGGCATCGACCTCGATTCAGACACAATTATCGACCTGGCCGCCAACAACAAGAACATTGTCGGATGCAAGCTGACGTGCGGCAACATGGGCAAGCTGCAACGCGTGGCCCACGACCCGCGCATCGGCCCCGAGTTTGCCGCATTTGCGGGCAAGACGGACTTTATGCTCCACGGTCTCGTCGGCGGCTCGCACGGCGTCATTGCCGCCACGGCCAACCTCGTGCCAAAGCTGCACACCGTGATGCTGAAGCTGTATGACGAGGGCAAGCTAAAGGATGCGCAAGAGCTGCAGACGCGCTTCAGCCGAGCCGACTGGGCGCTCGTGCAGCTCGGCGTGTCAGGCCTGAAGGCGGCGCTGCACAAGTACTACGGATATGGCTCGGGTCGGAGCCGCCGTCCTCTGAGTTCCCTTGACGTGAACAGATTTGATGGCGATGCCGGTGCACCACTGCGTGACTTGGTCGAGCAGGAAAAGTCGCTACCGGATATAAAGTAGACTACTTGATGCATAATCTTTGGATGAAACAAAAGTGATTCAGGGAAGGAGAACGAGATCAATAGACCAACACTATGAACGACGAAGGCTTGCCTCATCGCTGTGCTTCCACTGGGCAACCACTTGCTGACACTGAGATATAGCCTGGCGAAGGTAGCACATGCACCGGTGATTCTTCCTTGGGGGCCGTAAATGCGTCTCGTTCGTCCCATCTTCATAATAAATCGGAAACATTTTGCCTTACCCAGCGCACCGCCCTGCCTTGAACTCCGACTCGCATCAATATCGGTGATGCAGTCGTGGCAGTCTATTGTACATGCTATAGCAGGGTCACGTAATAGGACCCTTCGATTTCCTGAGTGTTTTCATTCTGCACTGAGACAGCGTTGACTCTCGGGCGACGGGTTCCTGAACGGCTATTTTCTGCCAGAGTCCACAAAACAGAGTTCAAGCCTCCTGCTGTGCAACCAATAGCATGGCCGAGATGACGGAGTTGCTAGTTGCTTCTTGCTAGTCCATGAACTAGCGTCCAACACATGGCGACAGCATGACTGGTTGGACCGGTTAGGCGGGACTGGTGTGAAAAAGGACGGGTCTGAAACCATACGGTCGACTGCCACAATTTTGCCAGCGAAACGCACACAAGTAAGCACGACTTACCAGTACTTAGGTTGAAGAAGAGTCAAGTGTGATGATCCCTTCTGAAATTAGATATCGGAATAGTGAGAGGGAGAACGGGACTGGGCGGGCCTATCATAGTTAGCGAAGACCCCCGGCTCGGACGAAAATCTGCGTCCATCCAAGAATACAGGCAATTAGGTAGACAGGAAGCCGAATGGCGAAACCATGCATTCTGAAATCCTCTAGGCCGGCCCGCTTGGGAGATTCGAGCCCATTTCCACGCAATTAGCCTGCGAGAAGAATCGGGCACATTGGGGCCATATACCCAGGAGCCAGATGACCACTGGGGTTAGTTGTGGTGCTGCGGCATCTTGATGCAACGGTCGGCTGTCTGTGCCCCCTCTATTTTACTAGAGATTTGAGCCACGAATATGTACGTTCAGTCATTACTCCCCCCAAACCTGTATTCAGGCTCGATTGCTTGCGTCTCCCCATCGCCGACGTGCATGTGTAGAGTTCGAGTGTATGTGCAGATCTGTAACCGTATGACATATCCTCTCGCCCGCGAAAGCGCAGAATTTGATCCTCGCCGTGGATGCTGCGCCCCATTGAAGTTGGGTAGCGTTATCTACGTCAGTGATTGTTCTGCCCTTGTATCCTTTTCATCCTTTCAACGAGACATGCCCATTGGTGGCCCCATTGGTGGCTAGTGCAAGGGCTCCAGCACTTAGCCCAGGCCCAGCCTGTCCACGTTACGCCACATTCTCCATTTTCCTCGGCAGCGCCCCCCATCGTTCTCTTTTTACGTTACGTCTAGGATTATTCCATCCATCTCTTTTTCTGATGAGGCATCCCTCCTTTTTCAACGACGCTGGCAAGCCATTCTGCAGTGCCAAAGTGCCAGTTGGGTAATTGCTTTTCTTCAGCTCGACCCGCCATTCATGCAGCGTGTCTAGGACAAAAGCGCCACGCTAGCCACTCCGGACTGTGAGGTTTTTAGATCTCGGCTGGCCTCGCACACTCGTTCCACTCAAAAGAGACGGTCACTGGCACATCTTGCCTGATCAGCTCATTGCACTCATTTCTGCATCTCTCTGGACTACGCAAGAGTCTTCTTCAGGCACAAGACGGCTTTCATCGACCGGCAATCACCAAATCCAAGGCCCGACAACAATGCCTAGCGCCGTTGCGACGACTCCTTGAATCCTGCCCACGCCGCTGTCGCCCAAATGGATGACCCAGAGAACTGGCCGTGGCTTGTCGCCCGGCTCGACCTTAACCAGGTAAATACCCCGCCGTTCAACCCGTGCCCTCAGATAATGTCGACGGCTCTTTGAGCATCGTGCAAAACTCTGGGCATATCTGTCAACGCTTAGATACATGCAACTGACGCGATTCCACGCTCACAGAACAACGATCCCCGCATCAACTCGACTCGTAACGACTCCAACGGCCAAGGTACCCTCAGCGCGACGGCGAACAGCAAGAGCCCATCGCTGTCCAAGCTCGGCGGTACATTCATCCCCATCGGCATCATTTTCGCCGTGATTCTGATTCTGTTCGTGCTTCTGCGCCCTCGACTAAAGCGCGTGTATGCACCGAGAACCATCCACGCCATTCGAAGACCACTGTAAGTGCTACTTGCTGGCACGCTACCGTGTAAAAGTTGGGCTGACATTGGACATTTGACAGAGAACCGAGCCCTGAGCTACCCAACGGTATTTTTAACTGGGTGGTGCCTTTTTTCAAAATTTCCGACACTTACATATTGAACAACGTCACCATTGACGGCTTCTTCTTCGTGCGCTATCTCAAGGTTTTACGGAATATATGTTTCGTCGGATGCTTGCTCGCCTATCCTATCTTATTCCCGATCAATGCGACAGGCGGCAACGGCAACAGTCAGCTTTCTTTGCTCACAATAGGCAACGTCAAAGACTCTAACAAGCTCTACGCTCATCTGTTTGTTGCCTGGGCGTTTTTCGGGTTTGTTCTGTTCACCATTGTTCGAGAATGTATCTATTACGTCAATCTGCGCCAAGCATATCTCTCCTCGCCCCACTACGCGCAGCGCATCTCGTCAAGAACTATGCTCATCACTGGCTTGCCCGAGAAATACCAGGATGAAGCCCGCCTTCGAAAGCTATATGGCGACTCGGCCAAAAGAATATACCTTCCTCGAAGCAGCAAGGTGCTTGCTAAGCTCGTCAAGGAACGCGAACAGACAGCCAAACGACTTGAAGATGCTGAGGTGAAGCTGATCAAGATGACGAACCACGCACGCAATCAGTATTTGAAGAAGCATCCCGACCACCCCGTGAGCCAGCCTCCACCAGAACGCATACAAGAACAACGAGAGATGGATCTGGAGTCAGCGAGCTCTGAGCGCGAGCTCGCGGCGGCATCCCCGAAGCTAAGCAGGTTCTCCAGCGAAAAGCTAGAAGTTGATCTTCCCGGACCACGACTACTCTCCGACGAGTCGATCGATAATTTGCAGCAGCGCGATTCAGATGAGACCAAGGTCGATGAAAAGGTTGATGACACCGAAAAGAAAGAAGATCACGTGGAAATTGAAGAGGATCTCGACTATGTGCACCCTTACGGCTTGCATGATACTCTGCCCGATTTACGCGGGTCCGTGGCTTCTCTCTGGATCCCGACTAAGAAGCGCCCGCACCATCGCCCGATTGGCAACTTTTTGCGTCGCGTTGATACCATCCGTTGGACCCGTAACCGACTTCGAGAACTCAATTTGCTTATATTCAAGACACGCCGTGTCGTACGAAGGGGCGAAGCCGGCACTGTCTCTGCCGCTTTTATCGAATTCGATTCGCAGGAGAGTGCGCAGGCTGCGCAACAAGTTCTCGCGCACCACCGTCCGCTGCAAATGTCTGCCAGGCTGCTCGGCATCCGACCAGACGAGGTCATTTGGAGTTCTCTTCGCATGAAGTGGTGGGAGCTCATAATGCGACGCACGGCGATTCTGGCGCTGGTGCTGGCGGCGATTGTTTTCTGGTCGATCCCAGCGGCATTTGTTGGACTGGTGTCTAATGTTGACTCTTTGATCAAGATTGTGCCATTCCTGAGTTGGATCAATCTGCTTCCGAAGCTTATCGTGGGGTTTATCCAAGGTTTTATGCCTGCCTTGGCCCTTACGCTGCTGATGGCGGCTGTCCCTTTCATGTTGCGACTTTGCGGACGCGTGTCGGGTCTCTCTTCGATGCATCAAGTCGAGCTCTTTACACAGAATGCGTACTTTGCATTTCAAGTCGTTCAAGTCTTTTTGATTACGACGCTGACGTCTGCTGCTTCTTCTGCCATTACCGACATCATCAAAAACCCTCTTGGTGCCAAAGACCTTCTGGCAAAGAGCTTGCCCTCCGCTTCGGATTTCTACCTGTCCTACATCCTAATTCAGTGTGTCCTGAGCGGCTGCAAAGATCTTCTACAAATCTGGCCGTTTATTCGTCACGTCGTGCTGGCGAAAATCACAGACAATCCGCGCACCAGATTCAAGGCCTGGAAGGAGCTAACGACCCCGGGTTGGGGAGGAATATTTCCCGTCTATTCCAATATGGGAGTGATTGCGTTGAGCTACTCATGCATTTCACCTCTGGTCCTGGTATTCGCCGCCTTTGGATTGTGGTTTATTCAGATTGTATGGAAGTACAAGCTCATCTATGTCATGGATTCTACACATGACAGCAAGGGTCTTTTCTATCCACAAGCATTGCTCCATCTTATTGTTGGACTCTATTTGGCGGAAATTTGCATGATTGGATTGTTCGCTTTGAACAGCTCCTTTCCGCCTGTCGTTTTGATGCTGATATTTTTGCTATTTACTCTGCTTGTTCACATGTCCATCAGTGACGCCATTGCGCCCCTTTTGGTCAGCCTGCCCCAAACCATGAAGATTGAAGAAGAAATCCAGATTGAGGAGAAGCAAAAGGCCGAGGCTGCTGCAATAGCAGCCGAGGAGTCATCCGACACGCCAACTGGTGCCGCAAACAGCTATTACGATGAGACGCAAACTTTTGGCGAGGAGAGGATCGAGAGTGAGGAAGAAGAGGAGGAAGAGGAAGAAGGAGAGCAGCACGTGGTGACGGGCACACGGGCAATGGAAGGTGCAAGCAGTGTTCGCTCGACGGCTATGGAATTTTTCAAGGGAAGCATCAACAAAAAGGTGAAGACTGAGCTCGAGTCGCCGTTTCTCAAGCATTGGCTGGGCAAAATCGGCATCAATATTGGCCCCGAGAATGCCGGCAAGCCGAGCTTCTTCCAACGCTTCTTGCATCCAGAGGAGTACGAAGACTTTATCGCCCTACGGAAGCTGATTCCTGCCGACAGCCTGCCCAACAAGGTGTACGCGGAAAACTGCAGCTACACGCCCCCGGACATGTGGATGCCCAAGCCTTCGCTGTGGATTCCACGAGACGAAGCCCGTGTTAGTCGGCAAGAGGTGGCACACACCCGCGTCTACACACCGATCTCGGATCGCGGGGCAGAGCTGGACAAGGACGGAAGAGTTATTGTATATTTTGAACAGGCGCCTTGCGATGAGCCAAGGCTGCTGATGTAGCATACCCATTACCATTTACAGCGACCATTTAATTTTCTATTTAGCGATCGACACCCATTATTCAATTTCATTCAAATCAGCTAGATGTTTCTGGCCTTTGCCCGTACTATTTTCATCAGCCGTATAGTCGTCATGTCGCCGCCCATCTAATCCCTTAACGCCGTTCTTGTGAATGACAATACTTTTCGTCGCGAAATTGTCGACAGATGATACCGTTCGATCGCCTACTGCATAACGAGGACGTTGCGAAACCGGGGCTTGCCTGAGACGAGGCTGTCGACCGCCTTTTGGACATCAGCAAAGGGGTATTTCTCGATCATGCACTTGACGCCGTGGTTAGCGGCGAAGCGGATAGCTTCCTCGCTGTCGAGCGCATGACCGCTGGGCCAGCCCTGGACGCTGGCGCCCTTGAGGACCAAAGACACGGTGTCGAACTCGACGGCGCCGACGGGCGCCAGACTGAGCAGTTTGCCCTCAGGAGCAAGAGCGCCAACAAGAGGACCAACAATCTTGGGGTTGGGAGCCGTCTGAACAATGATGGAAGCGCCACCGAGCTTCTTGAGTTCCTCGACGGCGTCCTTGGCCTTTGAATTGATGTAGTGGTGGGCGCCGAGCTGCTTGGCGAAATCGGCCTTGTCGTCACCAGACGATAAGACGGCGACCTCGTAGCCCATCTTTGAAGCATACTGGACAGCCAAATGACCGAGACCGCCGAGACCCTGGACGGCGACCAGAGCACCCTGCTCCACGCGAAGCTTGCGGATGCCGTTGAAAACGGTGACGCCGGCGCAGAGAAGAGGCGCTACCTCGGCGGGGTCCATCTCCTTGGGGACGCGGGCGGTGGCCTCGGCGCGGAGCAGAACATACTCGGCGAAACCACCATCCTTGGAGTAACCATTGACGAGTTCGTTGTCGCACATTTGGAATTGGGCGCGCTGACAAGCGCGGCAGATGCCATCGTGGCCACCGTGCCAAGGCCCGCCGACACGCTCGCCGACGGCTAGGCTCTTGACACCTTCGCCGATCTGCACGACGTCGCCAACAATCTCATGGCCGGGTACGCGCGGGAAGACGTTGCCCATCTCGCCGCTGGCAATGGCGACATCACTAAAGCACACTCCACATGCCAGCACCTTGACGAGCACCTCGCCTGCCGCGGGCGCCTTTAATTGTCTCTCGACAATCTTGAAGGGCCCATTGGCCTTTTCAATGACAACAGCCTTGTAAGAGGAAGGAAGAGAGGCCATGATTTGGGAAAGATGTGTTGGCTGCAAGTCTCTGCGTCAGTGTATGAGAGCGGCCTTATTGAACAAGTAGAAAACGAGAAGAGTTGAGGTGTTTGAGGAAGGGATTACAGGAGTACTAGGAGCTATTAAAGTTTATATAGGAGAGCTAGTAGTCTGTTTATAAGCACCCGGTCCGGAAGAAGAAACAGCTGCCGGTGGTACTGCATAGCTTTGTGGCCTCGCAGAGGCCGGTAGCGCTGCCAGCGGGGGGGGGGGAGGCCGCGTAGGTAGGTACCTAGCCAATGACATCAACATGGCGTATCGAACTTGATGGAATACAATTTTTTCTGGTTTGCTTTTGCTCCGCCGAAAAGTAGCACTAGAAGCGAAAAACCGATAGGTCCAGACCCTCGAAAGCGAAGTGCATGGTACGCGCCGAGTTTCTTTTGGGGTGTGGAATGATGCAGCTTCCCGTTCGGATATGCACATCCATGCAGATTCGTCAAAGCCGATGGCTTGATCTGCTATGTAGTGCGGGGGCCAGATAACTCCGAAAAAGCGTCCACAAATCGGAAACCTTGCGGCGATAGAGGGGAGAAGACGACAAAACGGGGTTATAGGAAGGGTTGGCTGAAAAGACTGATTTCAGTTCTGCAGCTGTCTTTTCTTTTGAGGCGCAATTATTTGACGGATAGGTGAACTCATCATGCATTTGTGGTGGGCAGATCAGCAGCCATCACGATAGACTCGGGTTTGGAGGGGAGCACAGGGGGGGGGGGCTGTGTTCCGCGCCAAGTTGATGTGCCACAGTTCTGCCTGCGCCACACCAAAAAAAAAAAAGCCCCCCCAAGCTAAAATTTGCAGCAGAGCTATTCGGTGCGAGGCAGCAGCAGCAGCAGCAAGTCAATTGCGACCAAAGTGTGCCGAGCTCATCAACAGAGACCCAAGAACAACTCAATTGTCGCCCGTCATGCCACTGGATACCTCTACGTACTCTCTGGCGCTTTTGCGCGTAGACGGCCGCCGCTGGAACGAGCTCCGTCGCCTGCACGCCCTCATCCGCACGCAGGATGCTGCTGATGGCTCCTCGTACCTCGAGATGGGCCACACCAAGGTCATGTGCGTCGTGTCCGGACCTTCGGAGCAGCAGCAAAACCAGAAGCGAGGCGGACAGGCCAATGCATCCCGCGACGGAGCGACTGTCAATGTCAACATCATCATCGCTGGCTTCTCCAGCGTAGATCGCAAGAAGCGCGGCCGCAACGACAAGTGAGTGAGCCCGAGCAAAACCTGACAGCCCCCCTCCCCCTCCTATCCCCTCTCATACTAAACAGCAATATCTAGGCGCATACAAGAGATGGAAATCACCATTGCCAAAGCTCTGTCGTCCAACCTCCACACCCACATCTTCCCCCACTCGAGCATTTCGATATCTCTCCACGTCCTGTCGCAGGACGGATCGCTACTCGCGGCCCTGCTCAACGCCACTACACTCGCCCTGATCGACGCCGGCATCCCCATGAACGACTACATCGCCGCTTGTACAGCTGGCTCGACATCGTCCTTTGCTGCCGGCGATGACTTGGCCGACCCGCTCCTCGACCTGAACAACCAAGAAGAGCAGGAACTCCCCTATCTCACTGTGGCCACGCTGGGCGACAGTGACCGAATCGCCGTGCTGGCGTGCGAGAGCCGGGTTCAAGTCAGCCGCTTTCAAGGCATGTTGGTTGTCGGAATTGACGGGTGCAAGCAGGTCAAGAAGTTTTTGGACAGCGTCGTCAAGACAAAGGGCGGTAGAATGATTCGCGAAGGGGCCATACAAAAGAGCGACACCATGGTCATGGACTTGGACGACTAAACCCTTGCAGAGGGCCAACCAATAGCTTGATGAAACACACAGTCTTTGGTTACGATTCACACCTACAGAAACAACTATGCTATGCGAATTCTACATCTGCCGAAAGCTTGCTTTGGTGTCTCGCTAGCCTTTCATTTACAGCTCGTCGTGTTTCTCGGTGGCTTCTTCGGTGCTTGGCTGTTCCTCGGTCTTGGGGGGTTCCTCGGTGCTTGGCTGTTCCTCAGTGCTTGGCTGTTCCTCGGTGCTTGGCTGTTCCTCGGTCTTGGGGGGTTCCTCGCCAGCCTCCTCAGGCTCCTCAACAGCCTCCACGAGGCCCTTGGGTAGCTTCGACTTGGCTCCCTCGCCCATGCGGATGGCGTCGGCCCAAGCCTCGACACTGGTGGCGCCAAAATCGCCCTCGTATCTGCGCCACCAATTACGACGTGCGTTGATGGCGATGAGCTCGACCTCGTTGGTGGCCTCGAGCTTCTTGCGGATATGGGATAATTCGTTGACGCCGTCGGGTACAGCAATGAAGGGGAACACTTTTCGCTGGCCCTGGATGTACTTTGTGTTGAGCTGAGTGAGGGAATCGATTGCCCTCTTGCTGTCATCAGTTTCGGAGTCGGGGACGAATGCCAAAACACAGGTGTGGGATTTGGGCTGCAGGCATTTCTCCGAAACCTCTTGTTTGTCAGATGCTGTAGGGATAGAAATGACTTGAGGAGTGGAAGCAGGAGGCGGAGTTTCAACGCTGGTCTCGGCCTTTTCAACAGGATCTTTCTTTTGCTCGGCTTGGGCGTCTTCGTCGCCTGATTTCTTCTTGGGCTTCTCGGACTTCTCTGCCTTGTCGGTCTTTGATTTGCCACTCTCCTTCTTGTTGTCTTTCTTGGCGGCCTTGACCGGGGCGGGGTCCGGGTTGGGTTCACCCGCCTGGCTGAGAAACTTGACCATGTCGGCCTTTCTCATCTCGCCCTTGTAAACAATGGGATCCTGGCCCTCGCCAGGCACCAAGACTAGTGTAGGGAACTCTTCAATGCCAAATTTTGCGACTGCTGACGACTCCTTGTTGCGAATTTGTGCGACGCTAATGACGCCGAGGTAATCAATGGCAATGCTGCGCAGGAGCGCGCTCGTAGTACCCTTCTCCGTGAACAGGATGGCTTTCGGACTGTCGGGATTCTTGGCAAGGAAGCCGTCCAAGTCCTTGTCTGTGACGCGCGTGACGTGGTTGTTGATCTTGGAAGCGACAGCTTCAACAATGGCGCCCGCGGTGCGCCCACCATTGTAGTCCTCGATGACAGGGCGACCGGGTTTCTTGCCAGGCCGGACAGTCTTGAGCGTGGGGAAGCCCTTGACACCCATGGAGCCGCAAAACTGCTTGTTGGCGTCGTCATCGCAGTCAATGGCGGCAACTTTGGCCAGTCCATCAAGTTGGGTTGCAGCCTTTTCGTAAGCAGGCTTGAGATTCTGGCAGTGGCCGCACCAGGGCGCATAGAACTCGACGATCTGAGCGAATCGGACCCGTGTTAGTGGGTGGGTGTTTGAGAGTGTGGAGGTTCCGCAGAGGCGACGAGCGCATTTGGCTTACCGAGGTGTAGTTGGATTGGCTGATCAGTCGGTCAAATGATTTGGCGTCAACCTGCAGAACAGGCGACTTCTTGGTGTACATGCCAGCCCATGCTGTCGGCGCCGTGGCCAGCAGCACAGTAATCGCGGAGGCGGCGATGGCGTGTTGATGCATCGTTGTATACGGGGAGCAAAAGCAGCTTAGCTGTATTGTCGCGTTGGCGATTGGCGGCGCGTGTTGTGGTTTCGAATGATTTATAAAGCCAATGTATGATGATACGTCAGGATTGTTTTCCCTCCCATCACAGGGTGTGTTTGGTGGGAAAAGTGCTGAGCTGTCCAGTTTGGCGCAGCTAGGAAATCGAACAGGTGGCCGAATTGGTGACGAGCCACACTTGGGAGAGGCGCGGCGCGGAGCTGGTGCGGAGCCAGCCTCGCGCTGGAGCGGGCGAGGCTACACTGCGAGAGGGGTGAGTGACTACAGTTGCATTCAATAATGTAGACGGGCATCTGTCATCTTGCCATCCACCAGTTCATGAATCTACTCACAGGGCCGTTGACCGCGAGCCTATTTAAGCGACTTGGCAGTAATCTTGCAATTTGCTAAACTAGGTAAGTAGCTTAGGAAGCTGATGAGAATGCACACACACGCCCGCGATGGGCCGCCCGCTGCACGATGCAACTACTCCAAATCTCGCCTCCTTTCTTCCGCCAACTTGTTCAGCTCCTCCACGGCTTCCGCTGCTCTGTCCTCGGGCAAAAAGAGGTGATCGTGGTAGAAGCCGCTGACCGGGTTGACGCCCATTTCCAATGTCGCCAGCCTCGTCGCGATGACGGCCATGAAGCCCACCGCCTCGAGGCTCGACGTGACATTGAGTGTAATCATCCTGCTAGGAAAAAAGTAATCCATCTCGTTTTCCTCGGCATATTTCTTGCTGACAATGGCGGTGATGCTTTCGCTCTCGCGGAAGAGCAGCTGGACTTGATCGAGCGGAGGTGGTGATGCCGTCTTGTCGAGCGTGGTAAAGACATAGGTCTCGGGGTGCAGCACGCACGTCAGGGTTGCAAGGAGTTTGTCGAGCGATTTCTCGCCTGGATCCTGCATGAGAGTCGCCATTTTCCTCGCGGAAGTTGTCCAGTTCGTTCGACGGTCTTGAGCTGTCCCAGAAGGCTTACAGTGCGTGAGTGCAAAGTCTGCAGGCACAGTGGGGAGAACCTCAACAGTCTTCTAGAAATAGCGCGCCGATTCTATGTTAGCTGACTCGGCCCATTATAAGTTAGGGAAGAACATCATGGTGTATGTTATTAATTTTCAGCTTGAACACAATATCTTTTGCGACTTCTCTGCTCCTTGGCTTTTTTTTTCCGACGTCGTCGAGTCGAGACAAACGATTCTTGTCGGCGGCTATCGCGGTGCTGCCCGCCTCCAGCCGGTCGATCCTTGACAACGATTCGTCGTCGCTCGCGCTAGTGAGCTCCTCTGTATATAATTTCTTAGCAGAAGCTTCATAAAAGAAACATGCAATAATGATGCTGTCAACCTAGCGTGGGCGGTGCGGAGGTTGGGATTCCCGGGGAAGTTTTTAATTACAGAATTCGCCGCGTCCATAATCCAGCTCATCTGTGACTGAAAGATGGAGATCACTGAGGCGAAAACACAAATTCTAGCTGTCTTGGCAATTGTTCATTTCAGTCTCGACATATGTAGCATGACCTGACTGGGCTACCAGTCCACTCCCAATTGACCATGGCTGGACGAGCTAACACTCGGTGGTGTACTCTGCACGATGACTGACGACGATGTCACGAGTAGATAACCGGAAAACCACCAAACTGACGTGGGGTCAATATCAATTTAGCGAGGCTAGATGTACTTTCTTAGCATGTGGTCATCGAATACTCGCGTGATAGGCAGGATAACATACATTACACTGAGAGTTGAGACACTGGTACGGTGCGCAACAATCCGAATCGAACCACCCTCCACATCTCGCACCCTGTTTTTTGAGCTTGTTAGTATCTTATATCGAATATTACAAGCTTGTGGCTTGCGAAGACTTACATGCTCAAGGCAGCCTGCTTGGACAAGCGCCACGCTGGCTAGCATTGCGCCGAAGTAGAGAGCAACGTTCATGGTTTTGGTCAGGGAAAAATTGTATAACAGAAGCGTATAGTACGCAGAAGTCAAAGAACATAGAAAGAGCTAAAGGCAGCTTTCAGACAGGTATTTAAATAGTAAGTTCAAGGCCCTAGCCATCCCCCCTCTTCCTGCTTGAGACATACATTTGCTGAGTTTCTAGGTTTTGGACCCCGTTATATAACCCTTTGACTGTCGTGGAGGAGTTCTGAGGTCGCGAGACCCATCACACTACAGATACAAACACAATACTTTATGTGCAGGCCTCCATTTTCTGAGTAATTTTAGTAAGTATTATCTTTAGTTAATAGAAGAGCTATTAATTATAGATAAACCTCTTTAACAATGCCTTCTATCCTTCAACTATAGGTGGCTGTAGGCTACCTGTGATTATTCCTCTGAAAACTTATAGTACTTCTATTTTAGTGAAATTTATAATGATGATCAAGTACGTGGCTTAGGTCGGGCGACGTTCCAGTCCAGGCGGCCATAGCCCATGGCATCCATAAAAAAGCGTACGGCATTACGTCAGTGGAGATATCAGCATCGAATCGCATGGGGCCAAATTGATCGCCGCTGTTTTGCTCAACTGACGGCCAAAAAGCGGCAAACAGTTGCTTTTTACAACGCCCGGATGTATGATGCTGTAGATTTTGCGCCACGCTACGGCAGGTTGGCATGGTGCCTTGCGCACGGTGGGAGAGCCTGATGCATCATTAGCCTCGTCCTTCAGCTCTAGTATATGTCACTGTGAGATAATTGTGACTGGCTCTTCTCTCCTGGTTGACAAGTGGGAATCGCTCTGTTGACTGGCATGTAGATCGCATCTCGAATGGCCATCAGTCAACCAAGAAGCTGCAGAATGAAACGATTCGATGAAGAACAAACCAAGCCATTCTTTTATTTTGTCAGTCTATTGACAGCTGGCGACCAGTGACCGCCGAATGCCGAGACACGGCTAGACTAGAACATGGCTCGACTGAATGCGGCTGGACTGAAACAAGGTAAATAAAGACAAGGAAGAGATTGAGACAAATTTTGTTGCTATGGTGCCGCGAACATCTAATTGAATGGCTGGGGCTGCTCTCAATGTGCGGAATGGCGCGGAAGTAAACTAAGTGAGCAAGGGAAGGTGTGACGTATCCAATTATTGAAACATTACGGAACTGGCGAATGCTCTCCTTTTTCTTAATTCTTGCATCTCGGATCCCTCATTCCTCACATCAACCTGCGAAAATAAAAAAAACGTTTTAAAGCAAAGCAAAATCGGGTGATACGAAACCCAAACAACCAGCCATGCACTTCTCGACCCTTGCGATGATGGTGATGTTCTCTTGTAGGGCTACGTCTCTAATTGTGGAAAAGGTAAGGAGCGCGGTGAAGGGAAACTTGATAGCAAAAACCTCTTCTAATCGGCCGTAGGCATCCTTATATTCCAAGGAGGCATGCAAAGGACGAGCCTATACGGTCGAGCCGGACGACAAATGCAAGCTCTTACCTAGCCAATGGTACGTGCATATTGAATGATGGTCTCAACCCAGCAGCTGACGGTAAATCATTAGGCAGAAAAGTATTACCGGTGCGCATATCCCGGAGGGTGTTGTCTGCGATTTTTACAAGTAAGCTCTTCGCCACACTGACCTATTGAACGGAGCTGAGACTATGCTACAGCGACGAGCGATGCGAAGCGCCCCTCTGGATTGGCATGGAGGATCCTGGAACTTGTGATTTCAGCGAGCTTGAAATCGAGAAACAGGCAGTGAGTGTTCACTGCTACGACGATACTGGACGCGAGCTTTGAAAAAGGGCGTTGAGCTTTTGGGGGGAGTGCGGCAATGCCGGGTTATTCTCTTTCTCAAGCATTCTAGTAGATGTAGGCCAGACAATTGTTCTTCACTCGCAAGCAGAAGATGAATTCGAAATTAGGGGTGCTTTGAGTTTCCATTACATCAACTAATGTGCGTTCCTAGAGTACATGGACTCCCTTTTCGATGCCATGGAGCGATGCGGTACCCAAACCCCTCAGCTCGCCTCAGATTTCGAGAGTATTCCCCTAAATTTTCTCTACTGTACCTATAGGTAGCGAAATGCTCTTTGTCTCGGATACGTCCCTGCCGTGACTCGGCACACCGCTCACCAATAATCTTCCAGCAGCTGTAGCTACGGGAAGTGGGTGGCCAAGTGGCGTAGGTAGGCAACCTCTGGACATGCTGCACGCCTGAGAAGCTGCCGGTACCCGAACGTGAGTACATTGGGAGCGAGTGGCTTGAAATAAAAATGTACTACGAAACTAGGGTGCAACTTCTTACATTACGGATACTGAAAATGCATTCAATCCTTTGTTGGGTCAGTCACTGGCTCCTCAGCTCTGCCTCGCCTCTATGCCTGCCTGGCTAGAGGTTTACCCTTTTGTAAAGACAGCACAGTATGAACACACCGAATAAGCCCATCATTTCTTTGTTTCTTTGTGTTGTTTGTTCCTTTTGAGCTGTCTCGCTCCGCTTCGTAGGCCACAGTCTTTCTACGCATCAGAAGCAATCTAAAACAAGCTTCGTGAAAATTTACCGGATAGAGTGTGTCCTACTGGCTTCGCGGAGAAGTGGAATTGACCCGGGATATATTGATCAAAACTCGCTGTCACCACATTTGGCAAGCTGGAATGCCGAAACGCCGTCGACAAAGTTTTGAGGTCAACCTGGCACGATGCATCCTATTCTTCAGGTGGCCGCACATCGCTAGTATAATAGTCAAAGGAAGTAGAGAACTTCAAGACCTAGCTAATACTTTCTCCAAGCATGAATAGCCAAAGCACAAAAAAATCTCTGCTAAGTTATTGTTTCACTCTCATCCACGCGAAAACATTTCACCTTCACCAGGCGTCACTCTCGTTCGCTTTGTGTAGTTAGCTGCACAGATGACCTTCCTATCCAGACTTGCAAAAGCCCGATTGACTCGCCGGAGATTACGGCATCGGAATTCGCAATGTTCAATGGAGTCTCTACTAAAACTACATTCCCGACTTTCAAGGTATCATCATGTACACAAGTATGAACCTTGCGCTAGCCCGCGTAATTCACCCTCCAACACTCACAAGCAGCACTGCTTGCCCTCGCGGTCGCTGCGTAAATTTCTAGAGTACTCCGAAGGGACCGCTTTCTGGTTAAAGTACGTAAAGTCCGCTACTTTTAAGTCCGATCGGTATTAGGCTATAACCCCACCTGTTCTACTCCCGCTACTATAATCTTTATTTTCTTGCGGCTTGATTACCAACTAGTTAGCGGATATCTCGGCTGTAATCCCGACTTTGAAGAATTATAGGGGTTACTCGGCGTTAAGATGTGCATCAAGCAGGGTTAGCGCGTTTATTCCTACGTCTCGATAGCAGTTCCGTTTCCCCCTAGCCTGGAGTTTTAGCTACAGTTTGATAGTCGACGCCAGTGACAAATCTCCTCTCAAAACAAATTACGTACCGAATGTGATAGGAAAGAACCGGTATGTCCTTTGAGATGGAGGTATAAGTACAGGTCCTCGGAACCATCAAAAGACTAGATAACCAAGCACCATTATTTGATCGACCGTGGCAGTCATCTCCTTGAATATACAAATTCTCTCTTTTCTCCTGATAATCTTGATCCTCTACAAAATTGCCAATCATGTCGACCATTCTCATCACTGGAGGCGGGCGCGGCATTGGGTATGAACTTGCCCGGCAGCTGGCGCAACTGCCGCCATCGCGCGTCTCCCTTATCCTCGTCACGACTCGAGGTCCATCCAAGGTCTTGGAAAACCTTGTATCTGCCTCATCTGGACGTGTTGTACGAGTTGCATGCGAAGCCACCGACGAGCTTTCTGTGAAAGCGGCAGCCTCTGAAGTGGAAGCGAAACTCGCAGGTAGAGGCCTTGATATTCTCATCAACAACGTCGGGGTATGGGCATGAAGTATAAGATCTGTATGCGAAACATGCTAACAGCCTTGCACAGGTTATGCCAGGTACGGAGGGTGGAGTATCAGCCCTGGATGGAAAAGAGCTGCTTGCCACATTCGACGTTAATGTCGTGAGCACACATCTCATGACTAAAGCAATGATTCGACTGCTGCGAAAGGGCAGCGGAAAGAAAGTGGTCATGGTGTAAGTGGTATCAATTCAACCACCAAAAGTACTGCCTTCTAATCAAGCCTAGGTCTACGCCCGTGGGGTCCATCAACCAAGCAAATAAATATACATGGCTCCCGGTGCCAGCGTACAAAATTACAAAAGCCGCGATGAATATGCTGTCCGTCCAATATGCCTTGGACTACGGAAAAGAAGGATTTACTGTTGTCGCTGTTTCTCCAGGAGTAAGTAACCACTGCAGAAGAATCAAGATCTTGTGCTAACAGTTTTTGCAGTGGCTTCAAACCGACATGGGATCCCAAGACGCAGACCTAGATGTTACGACTGGTGTTGATGCGCTCAAGAAGCTGATCTTATCGACCACTACAGAGTCGAATGGAAAGTTTTATAATATTCACGTTCCGGGCTGGGAGAAGGCAGATGGCCCGAATCAGTATGATGGAGCAGAAATTCCGTGGTAGTAAGAACACATCAAGGGATAGACAGTGACTCTCAATCAGACATGGAGTTGGATAAAGCCAAGATGGCCTAGATATCTCAATTGACCCTTTTAATCCCTTTTTATTTATTTTCGAGTGTGCAGTGACCTGTCAACGCATTCCTTGTTTTATACTGAGTTAGCGGCGCATTCCACTGAACGGAGTGTGAGATGAGCCTCGATGGTTAGAGGCGAGCGAAGAAAGCCGCTTAGCTTAATCTGGTCTCTAAGAAACATAATCGCTGGGGATTTGATATTGAAAGACAAATAATGTAAAAGCTAGGCAAAATTGGCATGATGTAGTTGTTAGGCTCTGGCTTTTGCAGCACGCGCAGATAAACCCACGGCCGCCAATACAGCCAGAAGCTGTGGAGCGTTGCTTGATGTCTAATCGGCTTGTGAGAAGCCCGAGATGTTGTCCAAGGGCATGCGTAACGTTTGCCAGATCCACGAGATGCAAAATTAAATACACATGCTAAATAGCCTTATTTCGCGAATGTATCCTGCGCCTCGAATGACTGTCCAGCAAAGCTGTGTCCTGAATACCGCCGAGACCCGGCTACTCGTACTTGCCGACAAGCACCAGAGAAGATTGGGCCATCGTCTTCGCCAAAAGCAGATCTGGGGATTCGGCCTTTCTGTATAAGTACTCGGGAGGAGGCTGTTTTCTGCCAGGCCCTCTGACAGCTTTTCGTAGATAAGTATTGTCAAGGCATGTAGGCATCGATGAGGGTTATCGGATGGGATGCTGGAAGCATTCTTTAATGTGTTAGAAAGTGTAATTCCCCATAAAACATGCTTCGGAAATATGCCAGATGGCAAAATATGTCAGAAAGCATGTCATAAACAACCCCCACACCCCTCCCGCGTAGGTATCGTCCGAAAGTGACATGTCGCAGGAAACAGTCACGAGGTGAGGGTAAAGAAGAAAACATTGTTGCCCCAGCCAGCAGGTTAGAAACCAAGGATGTAAAATTTTACTGAATTCAAATATTGTATGCCAATAGTCTATAATTGTCTCCGAACGTCTAACCTCCAGCGCAAAGCAATTTATCGTGTAAAACAACTCATGCGCTCCGACTGAGGTCCTGTATCTCGACGCCTCTCTCTCCAGACACACTGACCAGGATTCTCCCGAAGAAGGGTTTCGGCAGGTTCAAAGCACCGTCACTTTTGTAACTATCTCTGTGACTTACATGGACCATTTCGGGTGTCGACGACCATCACCGTCCCGATGCTCAATGTCCAGATACCCAGCCGACGCTTCGCGCGGAGTCAAGCGTGGAACATCGGCTTCGAGACGCTCCCACTTGGCTCCTGCAATCACCCCAATACTCTCAATGGCAATTCGTTGCATCTGAAGTGTCGAGTACGAGTTCCACTGGAGCGCAGGATCCTTCTGCCGAGATAGCCAACGGAGAAGGGGGTGCTTGAGAAACGGCAGCACCCCTCCAACCAGGCCACCAAGTACCAGGAGGAAGATGAGCCCCGCAGCATTGTAGTTTTTGTGATCCACACTGTATAACTTTTGAGTAGTGCAGATCCTCTTCTCCAGGTCCTTTTGGCCGACTGTCAAGGTGTGCAGCATGTTTTGCAAGTCTGGGAGCGTTGGGTCTCGAGGCCCGACAGCGATGCCGATCAAGCCGAACTGCAGTTTGGCCAGGCCAATGTTAAACCAATACCCGACTTCCTTCTTCCACTGGTCATTGGGGATTGGATTTTGAAAATCTGAAAACATTCCTGGACTTTTCTTGGCGAGTAATGCATCTATTTCGAGACCGAGAATGACGCCTTCGATGCCACCGCTGCTGAAAACGGACCATTCTAGACTTGCCATGGCCGCCCTTTGCCCAAGAGAAAGATTCCAGTCTTTGGACAAGGTCGGCCAATTCGAGGTGGAGCTTGCCGACATGGGCTCGGTCCATTGCCCAGTCACAGGGTTTCCAAAGGCATATTGATCGGTGCACCCAATTGCGGTGATTGGCCTGTCTGGCAGATAGTAGTCCTTTTGAAGCGGCATGGTTTTGTTGGTTGCTGAAAAAAAGGGATCACTGCAAGGTCCATCCGTGCCCTTGATGGCTATCAGCTGATTATTGAGAAGAACAATCGACACGTCGGCATCCGTCCGAGAGAGTTCCGGCACGGGTGTAAAGGAACCGGTCGATGCAGAACCCTTGGATGGGTGGTTCCATACGACACTGTAAATGGTCGCAGCCGTCAGTCTATACTCTGCGACAATGTCGTTGCTTCTTCTGTGACTCACTCAATGTGGTATGCAGGCTTTGCGATACTTTCATAGTTGCTCACACTGTACGTGAAGTTTTGGCTGGGCGTGCGACCAAAGTAAACACCTGTGATTTGTTCCGCTCTCAGAATACCGGCAGTCACCTTGGTAAACCGGTCCACGTCCAAAGGCGCACAGGTTGTAGTCCGCTGCAGTAGTATCCTGTCCCTAGGCGGCGCGTTGATGCCAAAATGCACATGCGAGTCTAGCTGGTCCGTCTGCCATTGAAAGGCGGGAAACTGGTTCTTGTAGAAGCAAGCATCTGCCGAAAACGGGCATCGGGCAGGAAACACTGCCAAAGTAGGGAGACGTCGCATCGCAAGATGAGAATCACAGGCGTTTGAGGGCGTATCCTGGTTGTAGCAGAGGTCGACATAGGACACGGCCTCCCGAGACTGGTTGACGAGTAACGCTGCTGATGTGGTGCTGGAATTGGTAAACGCCGCCACCCAGAAGCCGCAATTCGCCACATTTCGAATCAAAATCTCGACGCCCTGGCTATCCAGCAGAGACTTGGCCAGTATGAAGGGCATCCCCGCCACAAAGAAGCCTATGCAGATGACGGCAGCCACAGCTGGGAGAGAGATGCGCTTCCAGCACGCGTACCAGCCCCAAACTTTCCAAAACTTGAGCAGTGTGGTGAGTGTGCCGAGCGAGCTCCCAACGTTGCGAAAGACTGCTTGCAGCTGGTGGTGAAGAGCATCTCGTCTTGGCCGCCGGTGGTTGAGAAAAAACAAGCCCAGGGAGATGTAGCCCCAGAACGCAGCCTCGATGAAGATGATGAAGATGCCCAGGAAGATGTTGAGCAGATCTGCGGTATCTTTCTTCATGGTCATTCTAGAACCCGTCCACCGGTTACCACTCCAATTGGTCCAAAGAGCTTTGTCCACATGGTCATTGTGGATGTACACGTTGGAGCTTGAGGCCATTGGGACTGCGGGGGAGAGAATCGAAAGAGGGCTATAACTGACTCACTGTGCTTCATACATTGTGCGAACCAAGGTTATTCACAACTTACAGCTCTTTATATGAGTAGAGCACTGTATATACATTAAAGACCTCCAGCCATTTCCGAACAGCTTCGGTCGACAGCTGGGCGTTCTAGGCCGCGGGTCATCCGCCACAAACGCCGAGTACCAGCTACCTGGTCGTAGGCAACGATTTGAGGCAGTCTCTCGGGTTGTCTGCGAAATGGTGCTTAGATTGCCGTTTCAGCTGTCGTTGAATTGCTCGAGGACAAGGGTGGCCGTGGAGAGGAGTGAGGCGGCGGTGCCTCTGTGCCTAGTCCGCACCTCTTGCTCAATCGTACATATAAGGCGCCAAGTTAATCGCAGTATACTCTTCGGGTGGCAGAGACATTTTTCGCGGTGCTGCGGTGGGAGGGCTTGGGGGCTGAATGGCTTCAGCCTCGCAGCACGTACCAATTAGCCAGCCCTTTATAAATATCACCACGGCGCTCAATAACCCGACGCCTCTCTGCAGCTTATCCAGTAGCAGGACCTTGTTGCCTTTTTTTTTATATCCAATGAGATTGCCAGTAACTTGTAAGGCGCGAGGCGTAAGGGTGAGCAAGTGGGTGACGAGGCCGCCTAATCGCAACAAGGGACTCGAGCTGAACAACGGCACCTGGCCACTCGACGCCTTCGTCCTGTTGCTGATCTCGGGCGGCTTAAATTCTTGTTTCTACTTGCACTTGCATCGGATAAGTCCCGAGCGTGGGCCTGCATGATACTCGGTACATGTACCAGTGCAGCCTCAAGCATGCCTCGCCAGATACGCAACCTTATAAAAGCAAGCTCAAGGTAGCCATATCGAATACCTGCTATCCAATATACTCAACAAGTTCACCCTTTTTTTTTCTGTGGCAGCAATACAGAACCCACTTTTGGAAAATGCGTCCTTCATCTTTCCTGTCCTTCTCGTTCCTGTTATCCGGCCACTTCATCGCGACTGAAGCTGCAAACCCCATCTTTGGTTCCTTTGTAACGCCCGCCTGTGAAGCATGCCTCGATGCCGCGTTTGACAGCTGCCCTGGAGATTACAAGTCGCGCGGATACGCCGAATGCATGTGCGCCGGCGAAGGCGGCCGCAAGGCCGCTGCCTGTGCTGCGCAGCGGTGTGATCACAGCATCAACGAGGAGACGAATGTGGTCATTGCACTGGCCACATATTGCGTCGGTATTCTGAAGGAAACATGTCCTGGATTCAAGAAATTTCTCCCCCAGTCGGTGTATGATCGAGATTGCTCATCCAGCACTACCGCGACCGGTACTGCTCAGACTGCAGCCACCACCACCGCTACCACCACCACTACCAACGCGGGTGGTTTGCCTACTAGCAGTAGTAGTGCTCCAACTACGTAAGTTGTAGCGCGTCAATTCCAAACGACGCAGAAAATTATACAGTAACTGACGCGAGAACATGAGCCAGTGTCGAGTCCAAGAGCGCCACTCCGTCGCAGACCAAGTCTGCTTCTTTCGCGACGGCGGCCGCTGTTCCTGCATGGGGTATTTTCGCAGGGCTACTGGGTCAAGCTGTACAAATGGCGTTATAACTAGTTGGAGATGGGAAGAGCTTTGCGCACTTGGAATCAGTACCTTGTATTGCCATATACTACTTATAAAAAAAGAAGCCATCAGTCTTTAAAGGACCCTTTGAATACCTTTTCAAAATCATGCTCATTCCACCTAACCAACGGAGCTAAACCAGAAAACTTCCACACTCCGTCCACTCTAGTGTAGTAGTGCTTGTTGGTAGCGTGACTATGGCCCTGTAGTTTAACCGTCTTTAAATCCGGCTCCGTGTAAACCTGGTGGGCGGCCCTCAACTGATGATGTCCAACAATTTCCGTTTCGGAGATTCGCTCCCAGCGGGACGCGCCGAGCAAATGCTGCGTCTTGACGCAAGGATCACCAAGAAAGTCACCGTCGGACACCATGGCTATAAAGTCGTCTGCCGGCATGGTTTCCCATACACCCTTGCCAATTTTCGAGTAGTCGACGTAGAGGGTTGGAGCGATGATGCTACGCAAACGAGACCAGTCCTAAACAAAGTACAAGTAAGCAGCTGGCAAAAATAAAAATAAAAAAAATGGCGTGTATATTTGGGAAAAGGTTGTGTGTACTTTTGCGTCGTAACTGTCGCCCCATTGGAAGAGTAATGCTGTTACATCAAGGTATTCTAAACAGTGAGCCAAGATCCAACTTCAGGTTCCTAAGTGCTGCTCACCCTGGAAGGAAATTGCACTGGATGAGCCCCCGGCTCTATTATCAGCGGAAGAGGAAGTCATTTTGTCACAGGCAGCAAGTTGCCTCAATTGTCTTGTCGAGGTGCAGCTGACAGAGCGTAGCCTTTATAAATGGCCAACTTCCACACTTCTCATGTGTCAATAAATCAACAGTCGGTTCGATAAAGCAATGGCAATCTTGGAGCGAAATTTGGTTGATCGGCACTTATCGTACCGCTTGACATTGATCATCTCATCAACAAGCAAGGCTCCGCTCGGCCTCGCTTATGCGTGAAACCCTCATTGTCCGAGTGTAAAACTTCCTGCACCATATTCTCTAAATAAAGAAATAATGGTTTGTTTCCCGCCGCAGCTCTTACCGTCTTCAACCCCCCGTCGCAGCCATCGCGTCTCGCGTCTCGCTATGTCGGCCACGGCGGTGCCCCAGGGCCGGCGGCGACGGAGGCCGAACCCCCCACCATCTACGGCGCTATCTGCGGCACTAATCTATCCGTCTACCAGATCACTCTCCTGTCTCCGGAGTATATGCCACACCATCATGTTGCGCCGAGTCTTCGACGTTGAAATAACTCCACCCACACCCACCGTGGCCGTAATGCGTGGAGCGGCTCGTAGCCACAACCACGTTCCCGCCCGATGACAGATCCACATTGATTCTACCGAGATGGCCCTTGATCCTCTTCCAATCTCTGTTTCAGAGCGGTATGGCGCCTTTTTCCATGTGCGCTTAGGTCCCTCGCCCCAGGTGCCCAGAGCGCGGGCAGCACGGACAGATCATGACTCGATCCCGCTCGGCACGTCGATGGGAACAAACGTCCCGTACAATGACGTGCTGCTAGCCTAAAGCTGTTCCGATGGCCATTCTAGCCTGTGTCAAGACGTTTCAATGTTTCACATATCCGGAAGCTCTAATCAGATTCTTAGACAGCTCATTATTTGCTCAGCTCATCATCGGTGGAACTCATCGTCAGCTCTGCGCATCAGCTGCTCAGCTCATCATCTGCCTTCAATCCCCCCGAAGGGTTATTGATTGCTTCGTCTTGCCTACTAATGAGAATGAGATTACCAGGTGTGAGACACTTTGCGTTTCCTGGCATGTTTCGTTGGCAGTCTTTTGCTTGGGTACTTTCCCCTTTGCCAAAGCGGCATTCGGTAAACAGAGAATAGACCTAGTCTGTCTGTGCAAAAGACTACTGCACACACTCTTCTGGCTCTCTTCAAGGATTAATAGAAGTCTCTTGATTGAACGGAGATATATAAAAAGCCAACAACTCCCCCGCCTCAATGGAACTCACAGCATAGAAAACAACAACATTATTGCAAGAGATTTTTAAAAACATTACAATCACATTCATATCATCAACTCATCAGTCGAATTCAATGGCTTCTACAAAGAACCAGGTCTACGGTCTCGAGGGCAAAGTGGCTCTTATTACGGGAGCCGGTCGAGGCATTGGACGCGGCATCGCTGTCGAGCTAGGACAACGCGGCGCGTCAGTCGTCGTCAACTACAGCAGAGCCGACAAGGCCGCCGCCGAGGTGGTTGCAGAAATTGAAAAGGCCGGAAGTCGCGCCATCGCGATCAAGGCTGACGTTTCCAAGGCGTCTGAAGTCGCCCGGCTGTTCAAGGAAGCGCTCGAGCATTTCGGCCGCCTTGACATTGTCGTCTCCAACTCGGGCACCGAGGTCTTCAAACCAGAGGACCAGGTCACGGAAGAAGACTATGACCGCATCTTTGGCCTCAACACGCGAGCACAGTTCTTTGTCGCCCAAAACGCCTACAAGTCACTTCAGAACGGAGGCCGAATCATCCTCACGTCTTCCGTCGCGGCAACCATGTCGGGAATCGGCAACCACGCGCTCTACGCCGGTAGCAAGGCTGCGGTGGAAGGCTTCACCCGCAGCTTTGCCGTCGATGCCGGTCACAAACAAATCACTGTCAACGCGATTGCTCCGGGAGGTGTCAAGACTGACATGTATGATGAGTAAGTTTATTCTCAAAGTTCACACATTCTCAAAGTGGCATCAATGCTAGGACTTGACTAATGCAGTTGTAGAAATGCCTGGCGTTATTCACCGGGAGCAACTCCCTCTTCGTCCATTGAAGAGATTGACAAGGGTTTGGCCAGCTACTGTCCTCTGGGAAGAGTTGCTGTGCCCCAGGATATCGCACGAATTGTTGCCTTTCTGGCACACGGCGATAGTGAATGGATCAATGGTTCGTGGCTTCTAAAATGCACCTGTTCAAGTTACTAACAATGTCGTAGGTCAAGTCCTTCTTCTCACCGGCGGTTCTTTCACGTAATTGGATAGTAAAAGTACTTACTGAAGAAGCTGAAGAGCTTGAGAGCACTGGTGGCTTCCAAGTTAGCTTTAGAAGATGACAGCCGTAGACTAGAATCGAGTATTGCAATTCTTGAATCTTCGTCCAAATATTCCGTGACTCTAGATGCTATTTCTTGGTGCGCGCTGCAAGCTCAAAGTATCTTGAAAGCATGACCTAGTATAAGCCAGTATAATCTAGGTGAAGCTTTTCATATAAAAATGGTATTGTTTTCATTTAAGCGTCTTGGTCATACTCTTGTGCCTATGCTTTCGTGCCACGGTGATGGCTGTATCTCCGTTCTTTGGTGGTGTGCCCACAGCACTCAATTAATAAACAGGTAACTATTCGAGGCTAAGAGAGCTGCGGCCAAACCCACCTCGGGCATGCTACCCTATTCCTGACGCAGATCTGTTCGGCGCTGGTGGCACAGTAGCATTCCTGAATACTATTTCGTCATTGTATTGCAATCCTGAATTTAAACCAGATTTACCAGCTGAGTGTCAGTCTCGTCATGGGCAAATAGCGTTAGTTTGCTGTTGAGGAGCGTAGAGGCACCTCACTAAAAACAGGGCAGCCTTGCGCTAAAGCAGACGCTTAATAAAGAATTCGATACCTACCACTTGAGTGTCTTCTTGATCAAGAAACAAACGCGCGCAAAACACCAAACAAAGCGCTTTGTCAAGTTCACGCGATATCCATTTACCAAGTACTGATTCGCCGAGTGCGGACTTGATCTACACAGATCATCCTGTACCTCACCAATATTTCCTCCCTTTCAGTCATGGATGACATCGCGGGCAAGACGTCACCGGATGGCAAACCTGTTGTGAGGATATGCCAGATATTGAACTCGGCTGGTGTACCAAATGTTCTTTGGGGCAATTATTTGCTGAGGATCTATGGTGTGCCAACCATCATTGACGTTCGTCTAACCCTCTCCTTTGAAACCTCACGCAGCGCTGACCCAATTACAGGATGTGGCCTTTGTTGTGCCTGATGATCAAATAACGGCAGCTTCATCTGCCCTCGTTCAGGCTAATTTTACTCTTTGCAATAACCTGAACTGCGATCGCTCATATCGTTTTCAGGCTCGACGCCCTTTGGTGCACTTTCACATGAGTGATGTGTTTGTGCTATCGTTGTACCAAAAATCCGACGTCCTCTGGGAGCTCACAGCTCTCGATTCTCCTACATCGGAAAACGCCGGCAGCATCCTAAGTGCGTCGGACCCTTTGCTGCCCTCAGCCGCTCCAGGCAGGGGCCAAGGGCGATTGTCGTCAGAATATTCCGCTGTACGGGTTCCAGCCGTTGCAAAATATTGTGAGAGCTTGCTTCTCCTCATGTGCCGCGATTACGATACTACCTACGAGACTTACTGGATGGCCTTGTTGACTTATATACTCGAGTATGTTGATGAGACCGGTTTTTTCTGCGTTGAAGATTTGGGATATGAGTTTAGAGAGTTTTATTGCGCCGCGAAAGAAGCCGATACTTCTTGCATGTGGCGGCTTTTGGAGGAGCTCCGCTCCAACTTGTCTTTGAGCGGTCGTCTGCCGAATAGCTAGAATTTGTGAATTTGAGTGGATGATGATGATAATGATATCAAGGGCGGATTTTGGTCAATTTCGGAGTCATTCATGGAGTCGAGCGTCTTTAATTTACTGTTTTAAACATGTCATAGCTATGTCAGGAAAAGCCCTCGCAATAGCTTGCCTAAATCTTGATAATCTTTGAAACATCAAAACCAGCAGCCTGTGAAGAGTAGTAACCTCTCTGATTTGACATGACGCGTTTCCCATTCTCGTCTTGGAAGTCGCAGTTGAAATGGGTGTGACCAAACGCCCAAACCTTCACAACAGGCGCTTTCCAGCACAGCTCAGTAGACAGGTCCGTCATGAAACCAGATGAGATGGCGCTGCTTCGGTGTTGGGGATCGGTAACATCTTCATTGGTCAGTGGGCAGTAATGAGTGAAGACTAGCACCTCACGATGGGGTTCCGAGCGTGCTATGCACTCGACCTCGGCATTAAGCCAGTCGACATCAGAACGGTGCGCTTCCCGGTGCGACTGAACCGTCCAATCATCAACAAGATAGAAATCATTCAATCCCATACTGACACGGTCTTCAACTCCAGATGCCACATGCGAGAACAGTGTGCAACCCAGAACAGTGACTGTAGGGGACAGGTCGTAACGCGTTTGATCGAGGAGAACAAGTCGGTCGGGCTCGGTAAGCCCCATCCGAAACGTCTCGACTCTCGCCCTGGCTGCAGGCCAGCTACTGTAATATGGTTCGTGGTTTCCTAGAACCAGAAAGACAAGACGGAAAACGTCGAGTTGACGGCGGAGAAAACAGAAGAAGCCGTCGTCCTTGACGTAGCCAATGTCGCCGAGCAAGGCCAAGTACGGCGCGTTTGGTTCGACTTGAAAGATGTCGTATCCATTAGGGGATTCGAGGTGAAGATCAGATACGATTTGCACTTTGATCTCAGTCATCAGGGCAGTAATGCGAGGAGTGAATTCTTTCGTTGCGACCTCCAGTTTGGGTGAAAAAAAGAGGGGTGATATCACCAAACGCTGAGGGGTAGGCCGTGACACTGAGATGACAATAAAAGTAAGTACTAGGATATAATTATATAAGCCGAATTACGTATTTTGGATTTCTTCATTAATAGAAAAATCATCAGTAGGGCTATAATTACCTAGAGTCTACGTATAAAAAATCACATACATGTTCAGTAGGGACAGGTGGTTGCAGACTTTTGGCCACTGTAAGGGGATAATGATGATGTACCTATAGTGGGTGTATTCGGCAGGTTGTGGGCTACGGTACCTGTACCTAGGTGGCACAACCCACTGTAGTGGTCCAGCCACAGGCCAACACCCACCTAACATCCACCCACTAAACCACTGTACCTGGGCCTGGCTTCAGGTGCTAAGCATATGCACAATCAACCGCCAGTTATTACACAAGATAGGTCGTTATTATACTGACTGGACGAAAGCTTTTCTAACATAAGGCGTTGGTTTTTATTTTTATCATAAAGACAAACATATTTTCTAGACTATACTTTCATCCTACGCTTGACGCTATCGCTTCACCAACTTGCCTTATTTCGTGATGCCACTTGCTTCACACGTGCTAAAAAATGCGACTGAATGTGACAATTTCTTTCTACATGACCACTACTATATCATTCTATAAAACCATCAAATCACCAAAACCTAGGCGCATTACAGATCCAATATTTCCTTTCGAACATAGCCGCGCATTTCCTCCATGTGCGGACCCTCGTCCATCATGGTAAAATGATTCACATTGCTCAGCACATGGATATTCATGCGACCACGCCCAATCAGCGCCGCCCAGCCGGCGGCCGAAAAGTCGGTCCGGTCGTGTAGAAGCCAGAGCATCTCGCGCGGGTCATTCGGCGCCGTCTCCATCTGCGGCGCGCTCGGGTCCTTCAAGATGCCATCGCGCGCGTAAATCACCACCGTAGGCGGCGCGTTGGGCAGCGGTACAGGCGCGTACCCGTCCAGCATGGTGACCGTTGCGTCAAAGTGGTGGCGCAGCCACTTTGGCACGTTGTTGCTGCCCGTCATCTTGCCAAACACGCCGGCGCTCTCGAAAAAGTCAAACATCTTGGACGGCGGGTTCTCGAGACCGATGGGGTTTGGCGCGTCGATGAGCAGCAGCTTCTCGACGACCTCGCCTGCTGCCATGAGCGCCCGAGTCGCCTCAAAGGCAAAGATGCCTCCGGCCGACCACCCGCCCAGATAGTAGGGGCCGTGTGGCTGGAGTCGTCGGATTTCGGCAACAAACTTGGCAACAACCTGAGCCGTCGTCACCCCTAGCCGGGTCATGTCTTCTGGCGTGGCCCGCCACGGGCAATTCAGTCCGTAGACTTTGACACTGGGTTCCAGTTTGGCGAGCAAGGCGTACGAAGCAGCTGATCCAGATCCATCGGGGAGCAAGAACATGACACGGCTAGCCACGGGAGTTTTCGCGCGCTGGAGCACGATGGAGGTTGCGTGCGGCGCATTGGAGACAATTTGGTCCACCACCTTTGGCTGGCTAACAAAGGATGTTGCGGGTGTGAGTACGCCAAGACTGCTCGTACCATTGAGCTCAGTCACGTTGCGGCCCAATACTTTGCCCAGCGTACCCTCGAGGTCTTTCAGTGTTGTGCTCTCCAGCAAAAGGCTGCTGGACACTTCGGCGCCAAGAGCCTCTGTGAGAGAGTCTGCAATGGTGAGGCTGAGAAGTGAATCCACGCCAAGATCAGCCAGACAGGCCGTAGACTCGAGCTCCTCGACCGCTATGCCCGTCTCGTCGGCAATTGCTTGGCGGATCATGGCCGTAACAGCTCCAGTGTCGTTGGGAGGAGGAACGTCGTTGGGAGCAACGTCACTGTGGTCAAAGCTAGAGTCTGACGAAATATCGTCGACAAGCCTCGGTGTGTCACTGTGACTGCGTCCCTCTGTATGAAAGAAGAATTGCAAGTCCTTCACTGTGGGATGTTCCACAAAAAGCGTCGATGGCAAGTCCAACCCCATTTCGTCGTTGATGCGTGAGGAGATTGTCAGTGAAAGCAACGAGTCGAGCCCAAGATCGGCGAGTTGGACGTCAGGCTGTAACTCCGAGAGGGTGATTCCCACCTCTTCCGCGATGATTTTCAAGACGCGACGGAAGTCGACGTCTTCTGACGAGCGTGTGGCACTTGGGCGCCGAATGTCGCTTTGGGCTGGTGCTGGAGTAGCGGCCGGCCACGGCTTCTCATTCGATGTCTCTCTCTTGATGCCGGGCACCGGTGCCGCTTCTTTGGAACTGGGTAAGAGCCTGCCGAGAACCTTGCGGGGAACTCCTTGAAACTGCGAAATGTTAGTACATGTTCCTTTAGCGATTGGGTTACTTGGCAGACTCACCGCGACCTTGTCAAACTTGGCAACGATGCGTTCCCCGTCCAGAACATAGGTGTCACCGATATAGAGCTTGCTCTCTACAAGCTGCATCTTGGTGTATGTAGTATAGACCTTTTCCTCACACAGAGTCTCGGCGAACCGGAGGCGATCCCAGCCGTGATTGATGAAGACTTGCTTGTCAGATTGCGTGTATTCATTCCCGTTCATGATGAATCCGGCCAAGTGGCCCAGGCTGTCGATCCAACGCGGATTCATGACGAATCCCTGATGATCCACACGGAAGGACACTTTTGCTGTTGCTTCGAGCTCATCACTGTCAAGGATGACCTCCTGCATACCCTGATACTCGGAGCTATAGTCCACGATGGAGGTGAAAAGCTTGTAGACCATGGAGCGTTTCAGCTTGTGGATATTACCATCGGCGACGCCCCGTTCGAGAGAAGCAATCCGACCGCGAATCAGGTAAGCCATGGGTTTCCACTCGGTAAGCCAGTCGGCCTTGTCAATGATCAAGCGGACATTGGCTTTAGCATGGTGCGCCGTCGTGTTGCCACCATCGTCGACGCTGTAAATTGAGATGGAGATGAGCTGCGAAGCCCAATCAGCGGTGGCTGAGACGCGGAATAGGCGGGACTTGTCCGATGCAAGGGCAATTAGAGGGTGATCGACCTTGACGTCGCAAACTTCAAAGCCCGTAAAGTGGGATGATTCACTTCCTTCAACAAGGGCTCTTCCTACTGTCAGTGCGATGTCACCATATAAACTCTGCATCACGTTAGCCTCGTTTAACATGGTACCAACGCGTCAACATGAGCAACTTACCGATGGGCACAACGCCGCCCCATTCACTTTATGCCCGTTCAGAACGGGTAACAGCCTGTTGTCGAACAAATCGGACTCGGCCAGCAGGCTAGACTGCGCGGCAGTATGACTTTCTTCCAGTACACGCTGAACCGCAGGCGAAAGATATCGGACTGCATTGGTACTTGCTGTGCCTTGCGAAGCCTGAGGCTTCACGGAGCAGCACTCCCCCTTGGTCAGGAGCCAGTCATTCTTGTAAGTGATCCAGTAATTCTTCAGATCCCAGCTGTACTGCGGCAGCTGGATGACTTGATGGGACTCGCCAGAGCTCCGATGAAAGTTGTTCCAGTCAATTTCCAGGCCCTTGACATACATGGACTCGAGGGCAGAAACCATGGTGGTCCATGGCGAGGTAGCGTTCCGGACTGATGCCAAGATAGTTGATTGGGAGCCCAATGTTCCCTTGATCATTCCAGAGCAGGCAGGATGCGAGCCCATCTCGAGCCAGACGGTGTTCTCATCGACGAGGGAGACAAATTTGGCGGCTTCCAGTGCCCCTTGAAAGTTGACTACACCACGGCATGCCCGGGCAAGATAGTCTCCGTCAAAGGGTTGCCCATCATTGATGACATGGCCGAGCAGCGGAGACAGGATGGGCATTTTGGGTGTAGAATAATGAACATTCTGTGCAGCCTTTTCAAAGTCGGCAAGGATCGGATCAACCTGCGATGTATGGAAAGAAAAGGGAATATCAAGTGGTACCGTTGGGTAGCCCAGTCCTTGGACCTTGGTCGCGAGCTCGTCAATGTTCTGCTTCTTGCCACCGACGACAACTCCACTCGGCTGATTGATGCACGTAATCTCACACGATGACTCATGGAGAAGCGGCAGGATGCTGTCGACGGCTGCCTTGATGGCCATCATACCGTGAGTTCCGGGGCTGCAGTGTCTCGCCAGCAACGTCGCTCTTGTGCCCACTAATAGGATGGCATCGCTAGCACTGATGACCCCAGCGGCAAAGAGTGCTGCGTACTCGCCCAAGCTGTGGCCTATCACCATGCTCGGCTGAATATTCCATGCATTCCAGAGCCGGCTCAGCGCCATCTGAAGGCATACCAGGGCCAAGTGGCTCGTGCATGTGTCCACGCCCTCGAGGCTCGCGATTGAACCATCTATGAGTGAGAGAAATGGCGGGAAGCCATGCTGCTGCGCGATATTATCGAATTGAGCAATGTCCTCGCGAAAACTCGAAACGGTTTCATAGAGCTCTCGGCCTAGGCTCGTGTACAGGTTTCCCTGGCCTGTGAAAACAAAGACCACTTTTGGTGTTTTGGAAGCGCCTAGCCTTGGGGTTTGAGTAAGAGACTGAGATTGGGACTGAGCCTGCGACTTGAGCTTCTCCAGAACAGCGGCAATGGAATCACCCGAGCAAGCTACCCTATAGCGATGATGGATTCGTCTGGCTGTTGTCGTATAAGAAAGTGCCGGAAGAGAACAGGAGGGATTCTCCTCCAGGAACGATACCAAGCGCTCCAAGTTGACAACGAGAGACTTTGCGGATTTCGCCGAAACCGTGACCAAGTATGTGCCACGCTCGCCTTGCCCTGTGGAGTGTACAGTTTCTGGAGGACTTGGAGCATCTTCCAAAAGGATTGCAGTGTTGCCGCCAGCTGCGCTAAAATTGTTCAAAAACATCCTTCTCGTTCCGCCGGCGGAACTTTCTCGCCTCCAGGGCGTAGGCTCAAAGGCAATGCGGACATTGCGCTGGGCGAGGTCCGTGGGGTAGTTTCTGTTGATACGGGTCTTGATGCCACAGTGCGGCGGAATCTCATTGTTCTTCATCATGAGCAACGCCTTGATCAGAGACACCACGCCAGATGCCGATTCAGAATGCCCGACGTTGGCTTTTGCTGAGCCCAAATATAGAGGCTGGTTGGCGCTGCGCCGTTGGTCGGGGAGAAACACGGAGAGCACAGAGCGCATTTCCGTGGCGTCACCGGCTTGCGTACCAGTGCCATGCATCTCCACATAGCTGATTTCGTTGGGGTCAACACCTTGATATCTCAGGACGCGGTTAAAGACTGCCGCTTGATCGCCTTCATGCGGCCGCGTAATCGAGTCTGTTTGTCCGCAGTGGTTGGTGTTGGATCCAGCGATGACTCCAAAGATTGGGTCGTTGTCCTCTAGGGCGTCTTCCAGGCGCTTGAGAATCACTGCGCCGACTCCTTCGGCCCGGCAATATCCAGAAGCCTCGTCATCAAAGGTATTACAGTTGCCTTGTCAGAAGAGTCAGCTTAAGATGGTAACTTGAAAGGTTGCAACAGTCTTGAATATGAGCAAGGCCTTACCAGTTTTGGCCAGAAAATGACCGCGGTCCAGACCAGTAAAGATGTCTGGGTTCGTGAGCACATTTGTCCCACCTGCAATCGCGGTATCACATTCGCCTCTCAGCAAATATCCACAAGCCGACTGGATGGCAGCAAAGCTAGAGGAGCAAGCCGTGTCAATGCTGAGACTGGGCCCGGAAAATCGAAAATAGTAACTAAAATCGCATTAATAAGGAATTGTGCGTCTGCTCGTACGGGTTTGTGGGCATACCTAATCCGCCCAGGCAAGAAAGCTCTGACACCGCCCGGAATAAAGTAGGTGTCGACGTCCTGGCTACTATTGACCTCTCTCCAGTCATCACTTGTGATGCCAAAAAAGACGCCGACGCGGTCTTGTTGCGTCGAAGGAGTTCTGTTGGGCACCATGCCAGCCATCTCCATTGCCTCGTATGTAGCGGTGATTGCTAGCCTTTGTGCTGGATCGGTACTGTTTGCCTCGCGGGGCGACATATTGAAGAATTGCGAGTCAAATAAGCCAGGCTGATTGATGAAGCAGCCATGTTGGACCTTGTTCGTATTTCTCTTCTTCCCCGTCGGATCATGGTATGTCTCCCAGTTGAATCGATCCTCTGGTATGTTGCGATGAACGTCGCGACCAGACCGAAGAAGATTCCAAAACTCGTCATTGGATGCGGCCTCGGGAAACCGACCAGAGTAGCCTATCACAGCGATCTTGGTTTCGTCAAATCGTCCTGTAGACCTAGTCGGTTGCTGCGCAGGCTGTCCTGCCATGTTCTGCACGGCTACCTCAATACCTGCCTCATGAGCCAAGTATGAGGACAAGAGTGAGATGCTATTGTGGTAGAATGGGTAGACAGTGCATTTACCCCGTTTCTGTTTGCTCAGAGTCGTAGAGAGGGTGATGAGAATTTCTTCCCATTCAACCTTCTCTCGTAATACACTGGTGCTAGCCATTCTCAACAAACTTTTAAAGTCGGTTGCTTGAACCACTCCTCCCGTAGAGCCTGAAAATATGGGGATTCGAGGTTTGTACTCTTGGAATTCAGCCTCCGGGAAGCCCGTCAGCACAGATTCAACATCAGCTTCACTGAATATGTGGGAACCATGAAACGGCGACTGGATGGGCAGTCGATGTAGTGGGAGGTTGTTTCGCGCAAGGAAATCGTTCAAGATATCGGGTGGTCCGCTGACAGTAGCGTTGAATGGTGTTGTGGCGCTTATATATAGATTGGACAGCTTGCTATGGTAGGGCTTCCAGAAAGTTAGCGTTGTTATTCGTGTTGCTTATAACAAAGGAGATGAGAAACAAACATTTTCGTTCGTAAATTTTTCAATCAGTTCCTTGACTGGCTTATCGCGTGAAACCACGGCAGACCAAGGCTTATTTCCAGCGGTGGTGATTAAGCCTCTTTGTAGGAATGAGCGAAGCGCTGTTCGGAAAGCAGCAATGGTAGCCTCTACTCCAGCAACCACAACTTCATGTATGGACTGAGAGACGCAAACGGCAGAAGCAGCAAAGGAACCAGTGCAGATCCCAAGTAGATAGCTGTTCTCGGGTGATGGAAACGGCTTCCCGGTAGTAAAGCTGGAAAAATTCGTATCATGACTACGTCTCGACATAGTGAAAGGCTCGTAAGACTTACTGGATAAACTTGGCCACCTGGCAGACAGTCATGAGACAGAACTGCAGGACTGGTGTTCCCTCCAGTTTGTTTGCAAACCCAGCCACCATATCGATGAGAGTTGTGAAGCGGGGGAACATGTTTTGTATGGCTGATGGCTGACGACCCAGCTCCTGTCGAAGGCTAAAGGCGACGCGCTCAAAGAAGGAATTCATGGCTTCATTTCCTCTGATGTGCAGCAAGCGTCGAAGCTCTTCCTCGAAGCTAGCTGTGAGATCTCCAAAGACCAACAGCTCAGCTGTCTTGCCCGTCTCGTGGAGACCGGTAGAGATCATTGTGAATTGGTTGCTGCTTGTGCTATTTTTGTTTGAAAGTTATGACTTGTTATCAAAAAGTATGAAGCTCGTTGAGAAAAGTAGATTGGCGTATGTAATGGTAAAAGGTGTGGCCGAAGACAGGCAGATAATGCCATTCTTATATACTTGACCTGAATGAGACGGTCAGTCTCAACGTACCGATTCCCACGTGAAGCTGAGCAATCTATAAATGTCATCTAGTCGTTATAGCCCGCCAAGAAACCGTGCGCTCTTTCCGCCCAAAACCAACCGGGAAGACCTGATAATCAGGCGCCGGGAGGTTATGACTCTGCTTGACTTGACTCGTTAGCGCAGATCTCGGCTCCGTATCAACCCCAGAAACGCCTGACTTAGCATTCAATAGCTCCTATGTTGTTATGGTCCAATTATTTCTAATTCAGGCCGTCTCCACCATCTATCGACAACAAATGTCCGAGTTATTTGTCAGAGATTCTGAACAGACTTGCACAATAACTCAAATCTTCTGCATCAGAGCAGTCATGATTATATCTTTAGAACGGTATACATGGCAATTGATTACACGGGAGAAAGCATAAGTGGCATTCTCAGCACTACATGGTTGATATGGCTGTACTGATATCTGTATATAAACATCTGCAAATCAGAAAAGGAACGAGGAGCGATCATTATAGAAACTCCCCTGCAATAATTTATACTAGTCGAACAGTAGCTATGTCTCGGGAGACTATGCAAGGCCGGAACGGAACCTTCTAAACGGCGCTCAATACAATCTGTAACATCCTCAGCTCTCATGGAGTTTCCCATCAAACAATTGTGTAGAAACCTGTAACGCTAAACGAAATACACATACCCACTCTCTCATAACCTTTTCTACTCTATGTCACTGAGAGAATATTGACAAAGTTTCGCGGAGCATGCGCTCAGTAGCAATCCCCAGGGGTTTGGCTCCGAGCGGCATGCGAAACCAGTCTCGAGCTTGATCCAACGCGAGTCATCATTCAATAGTGTCATAGCTCCTGCATTAAGTGTGTTGCTACCGAGATAGCTCCCGCGATAGCTACCGCAATACAGGGGCTGAAGAAGGGCCGGTCTTTTTACCCGAGATTCCTGAGCCCGAGGCAGCTACCGAGGCAATGCCGCTCGTCCATCATGCGTGCAGTCCATTACTAATTGCCTAGGGGGTCTCTAAAAGCAGCCGCGACGCTGATAAAAGTTGCGAGTCCATACATAACATCCAAAAGTCCTTTTTGCCATATCCCATCTTTCCGCTGAGAGTACTTTGATTGTCAGATTTTCCTCCTGTTGATCAGCACGAAAGCGGTCGATCTCGCCGTGACGCATCTATGAGCTGTTTGTTCGTCTTCTCACAACCCTCATCATCAACATGGCTCCGTTGATCGGTGATGCAACTGGTATTTCCTCGCAAAATCTGGCCAACTCGGTATTGTCCTCAGCCTCAGCCTCCACCCAAGCTAGTTCGTTCATGTGTTTCCCCGTCGACTCAGTTGTCAGCCATGTCCTGACGAATATTGCGGCCACGCCATCTATTACTCCCGCTACCATTGTCAATCCGCTCGACTCCCGAGCCACCAACATATTGGATGCCCTGGAGCGCTCTATGAGGCTGCAGATAACAATCTCGCCAGCGATAGAAACGACAAGTACGGAAGTAGCCATAGCAAGTACAGTCACGAGAGCGACTTCTACCATCATAGCCACGGCTACGGCTGAGCCCGCTGCTGCAGCGACTGCAAGTACTGGGACAGAAAGCCCTGGAGATCAAGCTGGTGAGGTGGGCGCGGCCAAGTCCGCCCAGAGCCAGAGCACAGACCGTGACCCTGCAAAAGGGCCATTTCCGGGGGGCATTCCGACGCCCGACGAGGATGTATTCATCACGGTGATATTCCTCGTCCTCTTTGGTCTGGGTGCTTTTACGCACATCTCCATCTTCCGAGCTAATGCCAAACGTGGCCACAAATTTCTTCTATCAGACCTCATGTTTGACTTTTGCATGGTCCGGGTCATGACCTGCATCTTCCGGATCGTCTGGGCGTTTTCCAGTCCACGTGGTGTCGTTTTGGCGGCAATAATATTCCAGAATGGCGGGTAAGTACTCTTTTCGTTGCATCTTGAAGCACTTTACTAACGCGTCTCAGCGCCGCCGTCATCTTTGCTGTCAACTTATTTCTCGCACAGCGCCTCGTGCGCTCCATGCACCCTGCTTTTGGCTGGCGACCGGCTTTCAGCTACTTCTCTCTGTTCTTGATCTTTTCCGTCCCGGCCGCCATCATCATGAACATTATTGCCACGGCCTTTAGCTTCTTCAGTGTCGGAAAGCCTACCCGGTTAGAGGCTTCTGAGGGAGTGCTAAGAGTCGGCGCGTCCTGGAACATGATGTTGGTTGTCATGCCCCTCTTGTGGGTGTTCCTCGCGAGCGCGACGGCGAATGCATCACCCGAGTCGTTTGGCATTGGTAACATGGCCCGCAAAGGAAGCCTGCTCGTTTTCAGTGCAACTACACTGGCGGTTGGGGCGGCTGCGAAGCTGGCAGCAATAGCCAATCCTACCGCCGTCGAGGCCATGTCTCCGTTGTTTACCAAAGGTGCATTCTACACAACGGGCTTCATGCTGGAGATCTTGACAGTCGCTGCGTACGCCTTCTTTCGCATTGACTTGACTTTCCACATTCCAAACGGGGCCAGTGGACCAGGAGCCTACTCCATGCATCCCAATGATGGAAATACCAAGTCTCGATCATGGACAACAGATGAGGTCACGAGGGAGATTGGCAAGATTGGTGTCCGCTACGAGATTTTGAGCTCCCGTAGGGGTGGTGGGAACAAAAAGGGGCCAGTACTTGCTCTACTGCATCTCGACTCTACTGAAAATGACGGGTCGGTCGACGCGGAACCGGAATACGAGGATCAGAGGCGACTGAGAAACGCTAGGGTGAGCCGAAGGCAAAGTTTCATGGAGGCGGTCATGCCAAAACGGCCTTCACGGGCAACAACGTCAACAATGTACATCACAGAGAAGCCGCCGGCCAGTCTGTATAATGAATAGGCTCACAAGCAGGCCTGTTCGGCTGTTTGTTTGTCCGCCGGGCGGGCGCAGCGGCATGAGTCAAGCCTGTTATCTCGGAGCCGGGAGCCCGCAGGACGGGTCGGTGACGTTCCACCAGATGGTCTGCAACTGCTAATGCGACAATTGTGACGTTGGGGTGTAATAATAGAAACTGTTAGCATAGAATACGTTAAATAGAATTTTTGTACTTAGTACATTCTCGCGAAATCTGACACTGTGAATGTAACTCGGCGGTTGAGCCTACTCCCTGTTGATAGCATCATCAAGGGCCAAATTAGAGAGGGCGGAGCCGGAGGGTGCCTTATCCTTATAGCTGATAGTTCTATCGTCCCGCCCGAGCAATCTGACGCTATTGCGGCAGCTCCCGGCTGCCTAGGGCCATAAAGACCCGTCTTTCATCGGTAAATTAGTTGAAACGTCTGACGAAGCACGTCGTTACTATAAAGACACCCCTCTACCCCCCGCCAAGTGACAGGCCCGATCCGATCCTCGGGGCGGATACTATTAGTCGATGAGATTGTCTCAAGCCAAATGCGGCTAGAGGGCTAACACGGACCCTGTTTTGCACCCCAGCATCTCGTGTCAGAGTAATTTCACCTCGACATGGATGGCTGAATAGAGTTCGCCGAACTCGCCTGGGACTAGATAGATCAACAGGGGGATTAGCTGCAAAAACGTGATCTTTCCGTGTTTCCATGCGCACATCTCTCGGAGCCGTCGTACGGTAGCTCTTACTGAAGAGGCAAGATAGGTTTTTTTACGAACGACCATTGGCATAGGCGGCTCAGACCGTAGCCAGGTGCAAGCCTACGGCTCGTCTAATCAGGATACCAAGAGTATCATTACTTTTTTTTCTCTTCTTTCTTTTTGTCATTTTCATTTTTGCGTTACCTATCAGTCTTGGCAGATGATTCACATACCGCTCACCTGTAATAGATAATACCTAGACTTTTTCAAAAAAGAAAAAAATAGGTTTAAATTCTCTTTATCGTTGGACAATTTAGATGATTTTTCAGGAATATTAAATACCTTGATTTTTAATTAGAAAAAACGCTGGGGCTACGAATGATAAGTTGGTGGCCTAAACCCTGATGAAGGCTTAGTCATTCGTCCTTCCGCA